CTCGCGGCATCCGGTCCGCAAACAGCCCACTCGAACCGATAGGAATCCGGGCTTGCACCGCACCAAACTCGCCATGCCGGGCCTGCCACCCCCGCCGGCTCCGTCACCGCTGATGAAGAAGCGCATGGCCTCCGCTTCCAAGTCGTCGACAATGTCGTCGTCCTCGTCCAACGGGCTCCTCCCCCCTCCCCCGCACGTCACAAACAACCACAACATTGTCAACAACGGTAGCAGCAGCCCCCAGAGGCCCGYGGGCCACACCCCTTCCACCGGCTACTCCCAGAGCCTGGCCAAGAGCATGACCATCGACGAGATGAGRGCACTGCACAAGCGGGCCCTGGGGGACGCCGAGGCCAAGCAGACGGARCTCCGGCTGGTCCTGGCCTCCCGGTACCGGGAACTCGTTGGCAGCAGCGACGAGGTGACCAAGATGAGGGAGCGGGCCGGGGAGCTCGACGGCCTGGTCTCGGCGCTCCCGGGCCTCATGGAGAGCCTCCTGGCCGAGGCGTCGCCGGGAGCGGAGGGGTTCGAGCGGGAACACAGCAAGGCCGGGAAGGAATCCCCTCGGGAGGAATCCGGGGCGGACGGTCCCCGCGGGGCCGCCCTGCGGCTCCGCGGGAGCCTCTCCAAGCTCCCCCGGGAGGTCCACCGGGCCCTCGACCGGGGCGACGTCTACGGGGCCACCGCCTCGCTCGTGGAGCTCTTCCGGGAGATCGCCGGGCACACCGACGAGTACCCCCTCGCGACGGCCCTGGCGCCGCAAGCCACGCCCCGAGCGAAGGGGGTCTCCCCCCTGCTGGAGGGGGACGTCCTCCTGCGGGCCCAGGCGCGAATGACCGTCCTGCACGTCCAGACCCTCCCGGTCAAGATAAGCCGGATCTCCCGGTCCGTCCTCGACGCCCCGGCCTCCTTTGCGAGGGACAATGGTTCGGAGGCCGTTTCTGCATCTTCCGCAGAAGCCGTAGAGCCCAAGCACGGGGCCCAGCGGTCGGCGGCCGCACTGGCGGCCCTCGACATGCTGTCCATCGAGCCGTCCTCCACGACGACGACGACGACAATGGCATCGCCGCCCAAGCCGCGGGACGCCGAGCTCCTCGATGCGTACTACGAGGCCAAGGCCGGGCTCCTGCGATCCCTCCTCGACCAGCTCCGGAACAGCGGAACGAATGGCGAAGGCACGGATCGGGCTCCCCGGGCAAACAACGGCACCAGCAGCGACAACAACAACAACAACAGCAGCAGCAGCAGCGGGAACACCACCTCCAACGCCGAAGACATTCTTTCCAAGATTGTTCTGATTCTCCAGTACGACATTGTTCTCCACCCCTACCAGATCTTTGTCCTCCGAAAATTCCCCACCACCGGTGGCGGCGACAAGACCGAAATGATGAAGTCCCTGCCGATCTTTCCGGCCGCCGCCGTCCGGGCAAAGACCTCCGGTTTTTTGTCCGCCCACCTGCCCCTGATCCGGACCAAGGTCAAGAGCGTTCTGGTCGAGATTGCCGGAACGACGGCATCAGCCCTCGGAAAGATACGCCAGTCCCTCTACGACAAGACGGACGGGATCGAGTGCACGGAACGCCTCAACGATACGGACGGGATCTGCACCTGGGACGAAGCCGTCGGCGGCGTGGTGGACGTCCCGACCGTCCTCCTGGGAATCGGTGGATCGGGGTCCTCTTCCGCCGAGCCGGCGTCGGCGTCGCCCGGCACTTCTGCCCCGGCCGGGACCGACCGAAAATTCTCCCTGTGGGGCGTCCTGTTCTCCAACACCTTTTCCTCCCTGGTCCACTCGCTGCTGACCAGCTCCTTCCAATCGGTCCACACGAAACTCGTCTCGACGCTCCGGCTCTCCCTCACCAACGCCCCCCCTCTCCGGGGGATCCTCCCCCACGAGGCCTACCGGAACACCCTCCACATTGCCTCCCAGCTCGACACGGCCCTGCTGAAAGTCAGCGAGGACGCCCACGAGCTGCTGGTCCACGCGGAGGAACGCGTCGAGAGCGAGCGCCGCCTGCGCCAGTCCCTCTACGTCCAGACCTGCGAGATCATGGGCCGCCTGATCTGCGAGCTCCGCCGGATGCTCCTGGACACGAATCACAACAGCAACGGCAGCAGCAACCATTCACCGGCTTCCGAGGGCTACGATGCCGTCAAGCAGCTGATCGTGGGCAGGCTCTGCCACCTGCTCAAGTTTCGGCTCACCGCGCTTTCTACGCTCCTGGACCCGAACTCGTCTCCGGCCGTCCTCCACCAGCAGAGCGGTGGAATGATATCCATCGCGGAGCTTTCCTCGGCCTTTGAGCTGGCCGACGACAAGGACAGCGGCCTGATTACCTTCCGGGAAGCGATGGAGGCCGTCGACAGCGCCTTTTCCGGGACGCACTTCCACGGAGCCGAAATGGTCCGCGAGACCCTGCTCCTGCCGGCGGCCGGGAGGGACCAGCGAGGGACACCGAACCCGGCCGATTCCGGGTCGGTGGTCACGCCCGGGGACGTGACGCTCGACGAGCTGACCCTCCTGCTGGCGAGGGGGCTGAGGCACGAGGCGTCGGGGGGGCACAGCGCCCTGGGTGCCATCCAGAATTCCCTGGACCGAATGGTCGAGAGCAGCTTTCGGAACTGGGCGAGGGAGGTCCTCCGGCCATGTTCGGCGTCTCTGTCGGAGCAGACGAAACGCTTCGTGGTCGCCGCCTGCTCGTCCCCGGAGGAAGAGTTCCGGCGGCTGTACGCGTCTTCCGAGGCGGCGGCATCCCCACAAGGTGCCGTCGTCACCAACGTATCTCCCCACGTTAGCGGCTACCTGATGGACATCTCCTTTGTCCTCAATCGATCGGTCTGTCCCTCGGATTCGCTGCTCCCCGTGCCTTCCAGGGACTACGCCGTTGCCATGGGGGTCGACGGTGCCTCGATCCCCCGCATGATCGATACGATTCGCTGTGCCCTGCTCCGGGAGGGATTCGAGGCATCTACGTCCGTGCTGACAAGGCACCTCGGGCCGGCACTCGATGGAACGTCGGCTCCCCTCCTTTCCGAGAGCGGGCCCTCGGGGATCGCACAAACCAAGAACGATCTCTCCTTTCTCCAGGCCTGCTTCTTTGAGCGCAACCAGTACGGTTTTGGAAGCGGAGCCTCGGTGGAGGATTCCAAGGGGGAGCTCGCCAGCATTGTGCGGAAAACGGATCATTTGTTCCGCCGTTCCTGCAACCGCACAACGGTCCAGGTGATCGGGGAAAAGCGGAAGCACCTCTTGGAAGCGGGAGACCTGTTTTTTTCGTCCCTCTTTGGAAAGGACAAGATTTCTTCGGAGGCCGCTCCGGTAGGCGGGTTTGGTTTTGATGCCTCCTCGCAGGCTGGTGTTGGTGTCGGAAACACAAAGACACCCCTCTTCCATCCACCACTGGAGTCTTCCTGCCGGTTTCCGCTGCTGCCTATCCAGGCCGATCGGACGCTCAGTGGCGTCCAGGCCCGTGGAAAGTACAAGGAAAAGGAAGAAAACGAGAACCACAGTCAGAAACTGGGGAGCGGTACCGTGCGAGCGGGATTCGGCTTCTTCAGCTCGATGCTCAAAACAGGCAGCTGATCCGTCCGCTGCAGGCAAGCGTCGCTCGGACGAGTGTTTGTGCCAGGATAGCAAAATTATTTTTAGTCAGATTTTGCGTCGTTTGCCGATGCATACATGCCCCATCGACATTAAGTGCTAGCAACTTGACAAACAAATCTATGGTTTCTTTTGTATCTAGAATCAATGAGCTACTAGAAAGTAACAAAACTTATCGGTTTAAGTCCTCAATATGATCGACGATATTGAATCGTGGCTACCAAAATAGTGAACACTGCTAAGACTGGATTATTGCAGACAGAATGCTGCAATGCAGCACTTTTGGATTGCGAATGAAACACTCACAATCTAAAATACAAATAGCGTCGCTGTTCCAACTGTAACCGGGCTTAGGCAAGAACGAAGGTCGCGACAAAATTTTCGATGACGTAGACACTCGTGCCGTCGGCAGTGGGGATGTTGGTTTTCACCGATTGGTAGGTCCCGCCGATGGCGTTCCCGAGGGCCCCGGTCCCGCCAATGATCATGCCCTGGTAGTGCTCCTGGTTGATCAGGTGCCCTCCGTAGGAGACCATTGCACCGGCTGGCTCGCCGTCGAGCAAAAAGTCAACAACTCCCTGGCACAGGCCTTTCGAGAAGCCGTTGTTGGTGATGATGCAGGGGAACTCGATAGTGCCAATGGCGCCGCCAGAAGAGGGGTCGGCGTGGAGGCTCTCGACGTTTTCCGCCGTCACTGTGTCAAACGGAAAGAGATTCAGGAAGGAGACCGTGGTCGCACCCACAAAGGTGGGCTGGGGGTTGCCGGTGGAGAGGGAGCTGGACTCGAAGCCGATGCTGGCAACATCCTCCGAGACCAGGCGGAGGGCGTCGAAGGCGAGTTTGAGCGTTTTCGGACCGGGGGCGGGGGTGGGGTCAGGGGTGGGGATCGGTTCTTGCGTGGCTTTCTTGGTAAGTTTTCTCCTGGCACTGGCACCACCCGCCTGCAAAGGGAAAGGGAGCACGACAAGAAGAGCAATCGCCAGGGCAGAAAGTGTGTAGTGGGAGTATAGAGCAGACGAGAGGGACACCATTGTGTTGCAGTTGTTTGGTTTGTGTGGCGCGTAGCGGTATCGGATGGAACGAGAATGGTGGAAAATTGTGACGGCAAGGAAACAATAGAAAACGTCACGGGCTTTTTTTGGGAAAGAGCGACACGGTGCAATCTTATTGCACACTGCGAGCGTTGAGAAGAAAATCTGAGTACTGTATTTTTGGTTCAAGGTGTTCGGTTTTCTCTGACAAATGTCACGACAACCAAAAGCCATCCCAGGGGGCTTAGGGGCCATTCGAAGAGTGCCGGGATTCAATTGTTCTAAACATAAAAGCAATAGAGCTATTAATGGTAAGTCCCTTAGTCGCATCCAACGGACGAAAATAAAAATATTTCCATTGTTTAATTTCTCGCTGGTCCTAAAATATTTCTATTAGTGCTCCTTACTACTGGGGATATAAAATCAGTGGTTACTACTTGAGAATTAATATTAGTGCTTACTACTGGATCACCTCCATTACTACTTACTAGTTGGGATGCCATAGTAGTGAAAACTGCAAACTGCTGGGTAAGGGGGTTCTGTTGGTGCTGCGAGGGGGGGGGAGCGGGGAAATAAAGACGGGAAAATGAGAAAAAATTGACACCCGGGGAATTGCCAATAACTTGCGACTAAGGGACTTACCATTAATAGTCCTAAAAAGCAATCAACCTCCAGGCAGGGGTCATAAATATAGGAGGGGTGCGCAACGCATCGAAAACTCATATTCCATCCTCGGTACCAATAAGAAAAATTTCCCCAGAGATTTTTTTTTCACCTCATTTTTACTGCATAACAATGCCTAAAGTGCACCTGAAAGACCTCATGCACAGGAACACTTGTTCCAATCACTCTCTGATTTTCAAACTTCATATTGCGCACCCCTCCTATATTTATGACCCCTGCCTCCAGGGACGTTAGGAAACGACTCATAACCAGATACTTTAAGCTACTGGACCTACGGCTCAGCCAATGGGTCACGTGCCTACTCATGTTGGGGTTTGGGTTTGAGTTTGGGTACAAAAGTTGCGAATACTCTGTGATGGCTAAACAACCCATCCTCGGCGAATTTCTTGTCTTTCGAAGCAGCGTATCCCGCTGAAAAGACGAAGCCTACCCGAAATACAAGACATAGTTGTTTTACACGAGAAAACAATTAGTTTACTAAAATGAGGAGACGATTCCTGAATCCGTTTTACGAAAGAAGCTTAGAACGGTCACTGCGATAGCTGGCAATGTCGCCGACGCCCAGGACGACACCAGTTTTCGTGTCCTTCGAAGCTGTGTACCCTGTCGAGACTGGTGGTTTGGCAACGGCAGAAGGACCAACCTGAGGGACCATTTCCGTGATCAAGACGCGGCGTCCATCATTTACGTATACCCTGTCCCAGAATTCCAACAGATCGTCCTTCGTAAGGTCCAGGAGCGCAGCCACTTCCTTCTGTGGCCGATCGAACTGCATTCGCCCGCTCGAGATCTCGGCCCAGTTCCTAGTGGTTTCCGTAGCGAGCTGCTTGTCGGGCTCGGTTTTTCGATCGATCAGCGACTTCACGTACACGGCGAAATCACCTTCGTTTAACTTGTCAAGGTACGCAGGGCGGATGTTGTCCAGGTACTTGAGGATTTCGTTCGTCAGCTTTTCGTTCTTCGCCGAGCTCGATTGTACGATGAAGCCCAGCGATTTCGTCTTTCCTAACGCTCGGACACCAGACGAGACGATGTATCCGAGCTGCTGACGGGTACGGAGCTCGTCATAGAATCGTTCCCCGACGATAGCACCGACGAGTTCCATCAGCACGTGTTCTTTCGGTGTTTCCGAGAGTCCCTGAATGGAAACGTACGACGCGGCATTTCCGTTCTCGGCGTTGGGTTCTGGCGGATCCGAAAGTCATCCATTCCGTTGTGTAATTGCAACAAAGATGGTAAGGAACAGTTGCTGATAGAGCTATGACAAATATGAGTTCAATTCGACCCATGGCTTACCTGAAATTACCAACCGAGTCCCCTTTGTGCTCGAAAAACTTTCTGGCAGCGGCAGCGGCGCCAACTCGGGTGGATATTCCTCGACAGAAATTGGTTTGAATCCGAGTGTCTTGTCGATGGATGAAACCAGTGCTTGTGCCTGTTTTTCGTCGAGGTTCCCTTGAACCAGAGCTAGTCCCTTTCCGGAAGACCAAACTGAACTGACGTAGGACTTGAGGTCTGATAGGGTCAATTCATCTGTTGCGGCCAGTAGTTCCTGGTTATCGTATTCAAAACCGGAAGGCTTCATCAACAGCGTTGTATAGTAAGAACAGTGTGCATAGGGCTGAAAACCAAGATTCACCAATGTGGGATAGACAAAGCAATCGTAAGAAAAAGTGAACACAGCAGAATACGAGATCACATCTAGGTCAAGAAAAGAACTCGGGTAAATGCCGTACCTGTTTTGCATTGAATCCCTAGGAAAGTATTGAATTGTTGGATGAAATAGCATGGATCGATGGGAAAGAACATTGTGAGATGGGTCACCCGTCAAACGAATAAAACAGTGGAATTCGTGCCAGTTTCAATGATGCGATTGTGCATCGTATCGCATACTTACTTCGAAACTCCGGATCTGGAGATCCTTGTAGCGATCAAACTCGGCCTCGTCCTTGGGCAGTATGTTCTTCATGTCGGCCGTGATCTGTTTCGAAACGTACTTGGCGAAATCCTCCAGCTTGTCGTTGTATCCACCAAAAGTGAGACGGACCCCCCGCGGAATCACCCGCACGTCGTAGGTGAGGCCGGCGAGCCCCGCGTCGTAGGCGTATTCAGTGAGGTGGTCCGAAACACAGACCTCGTACATGCTGGAGAGGGCCGCGGCCTTGGCCGACGAATAGACCTCCTTGGTAAGAAGCTCGAAGATGACAAAGGCCTTGGGCTGGCCGAACCTATCGTCGGGCTTGTAGTACACCGTCCAGCGACCGTTGGGTCCATCGTCGCGGATGACTGTGGGTGGGGGCACGGGCTCCATTCGGTCCTCGAAGGTCCGGGGTGCCTTTGCCGCGTTCGCTTTAGGGGGCAATCTGACTTTCAGGCCCTTCTCCGACGGGATGAAAACGTTTTTCCTCGGAAAGGTGATCCCGAGACCGTCGACGCTGGTGGGGTTTTTCCATTGGAGCGTGGTTGAGAGCGCGACGGGGTCCACCCTGTAATCGGTTCCGTACCACTTTTCCTTTTGGTTGGTTTGCCCCTTGTACGATTTCGAAATGATCGTGTACATGGCATTGTCCACCGCGAGGTTGTCGACAAAGTCCGAAGCGAGTTTCTTGGTGACATCGAGCTCCGCCTCCGACCCGAAGGAGACCCTGGCCGCGTTGGACGCCAGGAGCTTTGTCGACGAGGCATCCTGTGTGCGCAGCGCAAGCCTGCGCGGACCGGCAACGCACAGCGAAGGGGGGTAGTCCTGGAGCGACGTCGACAGCGACTGGACGTAGTTGCCTACGGGGCCCTTGGACGAGAACCTCCATCCGAGTTCCTCCAGCTGTAGGACCTCGTTGAAAATGTAGCTCGGCACCGCTCGGTTCCGGACCATGCCTATGGTGGAATAAATGGATTCTATCACCTGGTCGACCTTCTCCAGCCCCGATTTCGTGAGCGTGGCCGTGACATCGAAGGTCTCAAAGTCCGACAGTTCTTCTCCGCCACCGGCCGACAACGAGTTGACCCATCCCTTGCCCTTGAGGTACGAAAGAAGCGATCCGGGACCCTCGTGCCCCAAAATGTGCCCCACGTACTGCCCCTGCTTCGTCAGCAGAGCGTCCTGGCGTTCCTGTTCGTCTCTGTAGGTGATCGGCCACGATATGCTGAGCTGCCTCAGATCCTGGACCGGAACGATCTTGACGACGTTCCCGAAGGACGGGATCACGCTGTTCGATGGATCATAGGGCGGGACGACACCCATCCACTCTTTTTCGGGGGCACCCGCGTTCCGGTTCGGGATGCCCGAGAAGGCCTCCTCCGCCATTCGACCGAGCGCATCGAGCGACTGGGGCCCGACCACGGCCAGGGTCATCTGGTCGGCACTATAGTGGGTTTCGTAGAATTCGATGAGCGACTGCCGGAGATCGATGCCCTTCTTTTTGGTATCGTCCAGCAGCGTCTTCTTGTTGCCGGTAAAGAACTTGGAGTGCGGATGGTCCCGGTTCTGCCGCTCCTTGTTGATCTGGTACACCCGAAAACTGTCGGTCTGCAGGTTTTTGTTGTTTTCGCTCTCGATGGCGTTCAGCTCCCTCCCCGTCGCCGCTGCGGTGAAGAGGGGGGATGTGAAGAACGAGCCGAAGCGCTTGAGCCCCTCCGTCAGCGTTTGGTCGACCTCCGCCTGGAGCGTGAAGTAGTAGCACGTGTTTTCCGAGGCCGTGTAGGCGTTGGAGGAACCGCCGTTGGCAGAGAGGAATTCTTCGAAGGAATTCTCGTTGGGATACTCCTTGGTACCCAGGAACAGCATGTGCTCATTGAAGTGAGCGAGCCCGGGGATTTCGAGGGGATCGGAACACGCACCGACGTGGACGTCCATCGCCGCCCCCGCCTCGTTCGAGGAGGGGTCGGAGCACAGGACCACCCGCAGCCCGTTGGAAAGGACCTTCACCCGGTAATCGCGATCGTCGGAAGGGGGGACCACCACCTTTATCCCGGACCAATCGGGAAAACCCGCCGGGGGCGACGGAGCTGCTTCGAGTGCTGGAGCGGCAGCGGTCGCGGGCGGGGCGCCGAGGGTGGATCCCGCCGAAGCCGCCAGCATGGCCCGCAGCATTTGCCGTCGAATCGAACTCGGGGTGGCGTTGTTTCCATCCGGATTCGCGCTTTTTGTGCTCGGCTCGGTCCCGCAACGGTGGGCAGAAAGAGACGGCACCGGGTGGGAGTGCCGGTTGGACGAAATGCACCCGTCCGCGCGTCCGTGCAAATGCTTGGGAGCAAAGGCGTCGGCGGAGATGCGTCGGGTACCCGTGTGTCGGATCGCCAAGGCCAAGACCAGCAATGCCGACGCCGGTATCGGTCGGAACGGCGCCATGGTGGCAGTCGGTCTCTTCTGCTAACAAGTTCCGGTCAAAGTGGGGAACGAAAGGCGTGGTGGTTGTGTCGTAGTGTTCCTAACGTATCGAAAAATCACCGATCACCGACAACAATATAGTAATTCATATTTGAACAGACGGTAATTTTCGTCTTCGTCGGGGATGATGCGGTACCGGTACGAGCTTTTCCTTTTTTCTTGTTCTGATGCAGAGAAAACGAATGAGAAAGTACGAGTACGTACGGTACCGTACTCGTACGTACCTGGTAGACGCAAACACTCTCAGCTTGTTTTCTACGTAGGGTAGTACGACTACGGCGTGTTTGGTTCAGTGCATGGAGTAGAAAACAGAAAACACGCATCGAGCGTGATCCAAAAATCTTCGATCTTTCTGTGGAAAAAATTTCAAACTCTATGGTATGTTAATGTAATATGGAAAATATGTATCTTACCTAATAGTATAGTATGAAGGTTTCCCATTTTCTCACTCGAAACAAAAACCGGTACGAGTACGAGTAGTACGGTACGGTACTGTAGCAAGTTTTGAAATACTACCAAATACAATACGAAGTAAAACTGCACTGGAGTGCTTCCACGTGAGTGCCGTCCGTCCGTCTTGCAGAAGCTTGACGGAACGGAGGTCCTCTTACTTCAAGTACTGAACAGCAGCTACTACCGTACGCGTAAAATAACAAATGAACTTTCGTTAATTAAGAGGTTCGGAACGTTAATTTAACGTTCCGAATGTTAGCGCTAACATTCCGAATGTTAGTGTTAACATTCCGTACGTTACCGCAGTAGGCCTAAGTAGGAATTGTACTAGCCCCGGTAGCGGCACGCCAGCAGGCCAGCATCTGTTCAGCATCTTGCAAGATGCCACCGATGGAATTGGTCTTTTGGATGGATCCTAGTACAAAGCTGTGTAGGAAATCCTGTAGAAAATCGTGGATCAAGGAAAGTTTTTGGCTTGCCATTTTGGTCAAAATAGAAGGGTTTTGATTCCGCGTTCAAAATTGAACTGTGTCCTACGGTCTTGACCTAAACTTCCCTCCAGCAGGCTGCTCAGCAAACTGTTCTTTTTCATTCTATCGAAAAAACACGGTTGGGAGCAACCGACCATGGGAATCAAGCACTTCCACTCACTCTTTTACACTGTACTTGGTATCAATCGATAGCTATCTTCAATTGTCGATTTAGCAAGCCCTTAACTGTAGCAAACAAGCAAGTGGAACAGATCAAACAAACAAACAAACAAACAACAGCAAAGATGAAAACAACCAATGCCCTGTTTCTCGCTGTGCTAACAGCCACCGTGGTGTCCCCTGTGTGGGCCTCCCCAAAAGTTATCAACGGAGTGGATGCCGGAGAAGGCGAGTTTCCGTATTATGTCTTGGTGGTTGGGACAAAAAAAATTGGTGAAAAGTTACAGCACATCATTTGTGGTGGCTCGCTCATTGCGCCCGATGTGGTTCTCAGCGCATCGCACTGCCAACCTGATCCAGGGTATGATTTCCGCGTTTTTTTTTCACCGTTAAGTGAAGAAGAGATATCAGTTCGAACCTGCGAAACATGGATTAGCCACCCAGATTATTCTGGTGTCATTCCATTTGCTTCGTATGGCTATGCTTTGCATGATTATGCTCTCTGTAAGCTCAACGAAACTGCCATCATCGATGAGTCGTATGTCAAGTTGGAAATGAATAGTGATTCATCCTTTCCAGCACCTGAGACGAAGCTTCTTGCATGTGGACTGGGTTCATCGGACCAGGACGGTAATACACCTGAAGTTTTGCAAAATGTTACTCTTACATCACTTAGTACTGAACAATGCATAGAATATCGGATTGAAAACGAAATTGATAATGCGATGTTTCTATTCGATCTTGGCCCCGAAGGGCTCAAAGAGCGTGAGGATATTCCGCTTCATCTTCGAGAAATAGTATTACAAAAGCTTGCGGAAGGGATTGAAGATCGTGAAGAGTTTGAGGCCTGGGCTCGAGATGGAACTTCTTCAGAAGTCAAACAACAGATCGATCCAAAGACGATGCTATGTACTCACTACGACCTTGAAAAGGATCAAACAATTTGCCACGGTGACTCGGGTGGTCCTCTTGTGAAACGTATCTATCAGGGCGACGGATCCTTTGTTGATATTCAAGTCGGTGTTACTTCGTTTGGAGCGAATAACTTTCGTCATGGTAAAACTTGTACCAATCCTGTTTTCGCTCGCGTCAGCGGGGTAATGGACTGGATCAGATCCACTGCTTGCGACACATGGAACAGTGTTGGATCAATGTGCAAAACAACCACAACCCCAACCCCAACCCCCAAGAAAACCAAAGCACCAAAGCGCACCAAGGCCCCAAAGCGCACCAAGGCCCCAAAGAAGTAAGGATTCGCCTTTTGCGGTACGCTGTAAGTGGAAGTCGAATCAGACTTTCTTTACTGCATTTTGTACATGCTCTAAGTTTATTTGTTATGCGTGTACTATTTGTTTAGTTAGAGTAGTAGTAGTAGTAGTAGTAGTAGTAGTAGTAGTAGTAGTAGTAGTAGTAGTAGTTATTGTTGTAAGCAGTGGTTGGCAGCGGTATCTGTATCTGCCCGAGTCAGCGGGCAAATTGACTGGATCACTTCCACTGCGTGCGACATATTGAACAGTAAATGTGCAAAACAATCCCAACCCCAGCCCACAAGAAAACTAAGCACCAAAGCGCACCAAGGCCCCAAAGAAGTAGGGTAAGGATCATTCAATCAAAATGCTGGTAGCATTTAGTGGTGACAATAATACGGAACTCGCTGGTCAAAGAAAATCTCATCATTGTTTATTGACTCTTTGGTTTGATTCGTTGAAGCATGCGACACCTGGACATAGCGTTGCAAAATCGTGTTCAGAGAGATCTATAACTAATAACAGAAATGTATATGATGCAATCTCTTGTCTTGCATCCGGCAATTCATTGGAAATACATACATTTGTGGATAGATTGACACAAAATTGTCACCATCTCGTCCAGATACACAGACGCAAATTTCGTGCAAACGCTCCTGGAATTGAAATACACCATTGTGCCGTGAACAGCCTTGGCTTATTGGTCGAGATCGGAGCACATGTTTTCCAAAGTTAATAGATTCTATTTTAACTCTGGTTCAAAAGCCTCACTGGAACAATTCAAACCAGTCGGGACCCGAGCGGCTTGCGTTCATCGTAGTCGGTGTCGTCGTCGACTTCAACATCGCTCTCGTAGAATTTGGGGGGCCGAATCACCCCGCATTCCACGTCATTTTGGGCACTCTGCCTCTCCCACCAAAACCGCATCGATGTGTTCTGAGACCCAATTCGGCAGCCCTGCTTTCCGCATGTGCACACCAGTATTGTCTCGAGCACGTTGTAGAAAAACTTGACAACAATCCTTGTGATTCTAAGCATCGAATGGGACAGCGACAACAAGGAGCTCTCTGAACGCAATCGCTGGCAACCCCCTCGGGATGTGTCAACAAAACTTTCCAGCATTGATAGTGGTCTCACCATTTGCAACGATTCCAGTTCGACCATAAAGTCATCCGAAACAAACAGACCGTCAAATGCTCCATAATATTCTAGGGTCCCGGAAAGAATCCCTGATAAATGACCCAGAAACGAGAGGTTCGGCATGATCAACTGAAGTACCACCAACAGAACCCATGGATACACGTATGATTGAACTGAAAAATTCCAAATATGCTCCTCGGTCCTGGTTGCAGATAGCTCTCCAGGACACTGAGATGGAAAATGATCCCCGAAAACCCAACAGCGTGCTGATACATCCAGCCCTCGTATCCAAGGGTTGCAAATGAAACATACGCCACAAGTAGATAGATCACCGCCGTCCATACTATCGACCACCATATTGAAAACAGAAGCCGGATGGTCCCAAGATGTTTTTCTAGAGCGCCACTAATGGCTGAAGTAGAAAGCATGTTCACTCCGATATGCATCAGGCTTCCATGAAAGAAGACCGACTTGAAGATCCGGTACTATTCACTGGTGAATAGAATTAGCCGCAGACACATAGTGAAGAGCTGGAGATTCCATCCGAGGAGCGTTTGGGCCGCGTGGAGGGATATGCATAACGCGATAACGCCCATGATGGTTGTGGACAGAATCGATCTGAGGGCATCTGCAGGTCTGTTGCTGGTCGTGGTAGTCATGGGATATAAAATTGTTGCTATTGCTGCTGCTGCTCTTGCGAAAGTCCTAAACTTTGTTTTTCGATGATATGAGCGACACAACTGCTCACCGGAGCCACCAAACTTTGAAAACTAGTACCACGGAAGTGCCTTGTGAGACTTGTGTCTGTACTTCCGCTTCCTCTCTATTGATACTCTCAGACGAATGTTACGCTATCCGCTTATTACATACAAAATTATGTTGTTATGTGTGATTTCTTATTTATTTTCATACKGTAAAAGATGCATTTGTCTTCATCCTTGATTCTTCCTTTTGTTTCAAAAAGTCTTGCCGTCTCAAGTCTGTGTACTTCTATCTTGCTTCCCGTGATCGTACTACCGTGCAGGTCTCAATATTTTGGATACTCGTACATTTCAATGAGTGATTCCCGATATTATAGAAGTGCTAAACTGCTTATTTAGCATTTTTATAACATCGGGAATACAAATTTCAACGGACAGACCCCGAGCATGCCAACTCCATGCCAGTCTTTTTGGGAATCTGGAATCTTAACTATTCCTCCAAAGTAAAGACTAAAAAGACTCAAAACGCGCGCCATAATAATTTTGGTTCAAAGTAAAACATGAAATTTTCGATACTCAACAACTAGAGTAAGACATAAACTCATTCCTACTTATTTCCAGTAGAAAATAAGTTGAAATGAATTTATGCGTTACGGGAGTTACGCTATCAACCACAGTAGCTAGAGTAAAGCATGAACTCATTTTCTGCCGATTATTTCACTTTCAGTAGGAAATGAGTTCATGTTCTACGCTAACAACGAGCCGACAAACACACTAAAAGACCACAGTTTCCTCCCAGCACAACAAAAGGCAACATCGACCGACAATGGGATTAATGGAAGTGATCACCATGCACTGGTACCTCCAGTTGAAGGCCGAGGAGGAGGATGAGAAAGGAAGAAGTTACAAAAGCAAACTGACTCCAGAAGAGAGACGTCGAAGGGACAGGAGAACCCCAAGGATTGTAATTCGTAGATATGCTGATTCCGCTTTCCTATACATGTTCCACTCAGGGGATGACCAAGCATTGCTCAATTGCTGTGGCATGGACCACAAGGTATTCAGGGAGCTTGTCGACCTCTTTGCTCCAGTATGGAACAACAAGTACTCTGTCAACAACAACAATGAGATCGTGGAGGTTCCTTGTTTCCCCAGTGGGAAGCCCAAGGGGAAGAAAAGGGAGGTCGATGCAGTCTGTGCCATTGGATTAGTGCTGTATTGGTACAGGACACGTGGATCCGTAGCAAGGTCAATGGCAATGGCCTTTGGCTTAACATCCACAGTGATGTATAAGTGGCTTAAGTTTTCAAGAAGAGTGATGCTTGTTGCTCTTCACAAGCATCCGGAGGCCATGGTCAGGATCCCAACTCAGCAAGAGGTGGATACTTATGTTAAGGCAATTGGGGACAAGTATCCAAGGCTTGGAGAACAGATGGGCTCAAGCAAGTGATTGAAGCCTCAGGAGACTGGTACAAACAAAGACCATTTTACAATGCATGGAAGGAGAACACCTACGTCAACAGTGTATTTGCCTTTGCACCGGATGGAAGGATCAGGATAGCAGTGTACAACTGCCCGGGGGCCTGGCACGACAGCGCCATTGCTGAGCATGGTGTGTACCAAAGGATTGTGGAGGTTCATGAAGAGTGTGGTGGAAAGGTTGTAGTTGATTCAGCGTTTGCCCTGAAGGAATACAAGGATAGCCTACTAATCAAAAGCTCACAGAGGGACCCAGATCAACCAGAGTGCATACTGCTCAATAGGGACGCGACCTCCTTGAGACAGATGTCGGAATGGGGGATGAGGATGATCCAGGGACAGTTCCCTCGAATCAAAGACAGGATGTGCTTGGAGGAGCAGGGGGAAAGAAAGATCACCATGAACCTTCTTATCAACTTGTATAACTACCAGTGCAGTTACGTAGGACACAACATGATCCTATCAAGTTTCATGAGGACTCCACCGGCAACTGATCCAGAGGTAACTCACGAAGAGTTAAGAAAAGATCTTGCCGGGGGATACTTTCATGTAGGTCGTCGCGTTTCTCCAGATGGAAATGGACTGTTTCGAGGGTGAATCGCGGGTGAATCCCATGGTCAATTCGGTTCTGTGGTTGATGCAGAAGTCGCATGTTTAGTTAGTTCTTGACCTTAACAATGTTATCGATCCAGCTCAAACAAGACAGCTCAACAGTGTCGTTTTTTGAAACAAATGAGATCCGACGCAAAAGAAGCAGGAGATACACGACAATACAAACAACAATACAACAATACGAGCACCATGGTCGTGCGATTGGAATAGTTACTATCCTTAACTGGTTTGAACAGGCAACACTGTTTGGCTTGGTTCCATCAAGCAATATGAATGCATAGTGAATTAGCTGCTATCGTAGGAGCAGCCTGCTATCATACGAGCAAGCAGCTAGTAAGTACGTGATACGCGAATTAGGTTTTCATGTATACACCTGTGACCTGGCTTCCGCGTTTGTAGATATACACAAATGACGGAGTACATACTGATTTATACTGTAATGAATAAAAGTTGAGTGTTATACTGAAATGAAGAAAAGATTATGATATACAACATGTGCATGCCGATCCGAACCGTTTTTGTGGGACTTCCCACGTGCTGTCAGAGGCAAAACAGTTCTAATCCCGCATTGGTATACGCGAAAGCCTTCTCAAGAAAACCGAAAGCCTTCTCAAGAAAACCTTTACGCAAGCGAACAGTCCCACAAACAGTTTCTTGTACTGTTCTTGGTAGAAAAGTACATGGTAGCAAACTATCACCACACTAAAGCTCATTGTTTCATATCAGTCGAAATACAGTGTTAGTTAGTTTAGTAGTTAATTAATTTAGTCTAACGAGGACCATGGTGCTTCTTTTCACCACCATGGGATTCTTCCTCTCCAGTGCGTTTGCGTTTGTTGTTGGACGTTGACTCGGCAGTCGATGCAACTGAAGGAGGACCACCGAAGGAGCGGTCGTAAGAATGGTAGGGGGGAGGAGCAGTGTTACCGGGTGGAGGAGGAGGAGGACCATGGTAAGGACCATGGTAAGAATGTTGTTGTTGTTGCTGCCAGGTATTCATCATGGTCATAGCTGCTCCAAGAAATTTCTCTGCTACGTCCTTTACACCACTCCACATCTCAATACTCCGTTGGTCTCTTCTTTCCTCTCTTTGTTGCTGCTTGATAAAGTATTCATTATTTAGTAGGTCTCTTCTTTCCTCTCTTTGTTGCTGGTTGATAATGTATTCATTGAATACAGAGGCGTCCGGGACAGTTTTCCTTTGTCCTTGGTAAGATCTCTTCTTTGCTGGTGTAGATTCAACAAGAGAAGGGGTCAAGTTACTGGCAGAAGCAGAGGAAGCAACAGCAGCGGAAGCAACAGCAGCAGGAGCATACTCCTCGCGCTCCTGCCGTTGCTGCTGTTCTTTGGATGAGGACTCATCTCCGGCAAGAATAATTGGAGCTCCTGCTATCGATCCGCCGGCAGTAGCAGCTGTAGTTGGAGCTATAGTGGCCCCTGAAGACAGCGCTGTCAAACCGGCTACAGCCTCACTCTTAATGAAGCCTTGCTCCAGATCAAAGACYTCCTCTGCAGTACCAAGATTTGCCTTTTCACCAATCAACTTGTGGGCTTCCCGGGCCAGCTGCACATACTCTGGTATGTTGGGATTCCCGGTGGAGCTCTTGATCCTCTTCACAGCTGCATACTTAGTCTTGATAGAGGTCGTTGTCCTACCTACAGGCCAACTCTCAGCATGCTTTGCTGTAATGTACTCCCATCCCTCAGCACATACAGGGATTACATCGACTATCAGTCTCATGAGACTGGTAACCTCTTCACGCGAGTAGTTAATAGTACCACTCTTCCGACCGGATTTGCCACCAGCAGCACCAGGAACAGAGGGATCCATCTTAACAAATATAGTGTGGGGGATGGGACAACAATGATGGTGGCGAGCCTGCTCGTCGTTGTGACAATGAGGTCTCTCTTTGAGGAGGTCGCCGGAAGCCTCCTCCTCGTGAGCCTCTCTTTGCTGCAACAAAGAAAGGAAATAGAATGCACTGACTAACAGCACAGATCGAGACATAGTTTATGTCTTGGGTGCCTTTCTTATTACTGTAGAGGCGCCTTCTTGTATGTCATTTTGATACTTGTTTAGAAAAGAGTATGTTTGGCCGGGTGTTAGTAATTTTGGCGGGCCTTTCTGTTGAATCTTTCAACGGACTGGAAATTTTGGTTCGTGGGTTCCATCATAGTTTAGCACATTTTGAATGGGGTCAGTTGACCCATTCAAAAAATGCTAAATCTATGACAAATCGTCATAGATTTTCGGTCTGTCTGTCTATCAAATTTAGCATTTCTATAATATCGGGAATCATTCAATTACAGTAAAAATCATCGAACTTGATTCTTCTTTAGAAAAAATTATTCGTACGCACGGTACATACTAGTAGTATGTACAGCGCAGTTACTTTTTTCGTTCGAATCTGTGACCGGAGGGGTGACCGGGCGGAGCGGAGACCGGAGCACGGTGGGTAGAATGTACCAGTACAAGTACGTACTGCGGTACACAAGCTTCGCTTTTCTGTTTCGTGGCGTTAATCTAAGGTAGTCGTAGTAGTCAAAAAAGATGCAAATGAAAGCTGTTTTTGAATTGGAAACTCCTCTCATCTCAAAATCAAACAACGGAAGCAGGTCATTCTCCTCGAGCGCGACAACCGGACTCAAACGGTCGAGATATTTTCATCATTGCATTTACAATATCGAGAAATAACAAAGATCAAAACAACTCAGTAGCATCTAGCCAGTGCTTGACCATACATTTTACAAAGAGCAATCAATCACTATGTCTGACGGACCCTACGGTCGACACGGCTTCAGTGCCAACTCCAATGCAGGGGGATACGGCGGTCAAGCCGGTGGTACCAGTTACGGTTCCCAGCAAGGCGGAGGAGGATACGCGGCGCCATCTTACGGTCAAAGCTACGGCGGGGGAGCTTCCTACGGTGCATCCGGTGGTCAGGACTATGGATCACAGTATGGATCCTATGGGGGTGGCGCTCCCGACAACTATTCTGTACGTAACAAATTGAATTGCTGACTGCTAGATTTGCAATCTAGTGAAGAAATGATGTCGGTCTAGTCATGGTCATCTTATCAAAAACAGAGAATTGAATCAACAACAATCCGTGATTGAAATAGATTCCGTCCTTTCTCTTACAATACTACAAACTTGCGCGTTATTTCGAGGTCGACGGAATTTTGGTTTTCAAGAACGCTATCTTCCTTTCGTCCGACTTATGAAAATAAGTAATTTTTGCTTCGTGACGGTTTTCGATTTTCTTCTGTCGCGTTGCATCTTCTTACCAATTAATTCTTGCACGAATCTCCACACTCATGTGAAAAGCAGGCGGGGAGCGACAACGACGATGGCAAAAAAGGAGCCAAAAAAAGCATTGCAGTCCAGGCATTGAATATGTATGTCCTCATGTGGGCTGGGTTCATTACGGCATCCCTTCTAGTCTACTTTTTGTTGTCAGGTGGGGACTTTTCCTTCCTTATGACTTATGGCGGTATGGCTAGAATGTTTGGGTTCGGCATTCTCAATCTGAAAACATTTAAAAGTCAAAGGGCTACGGGTGTCTCCAAGAAGACTTTGCAGCTCTACTGTTGTGTATTCTTTTTTCGTCTGACTTCCATCATCCGACACGAGGGATATCTGCCATACGACAAGTCTGGAGATTGGCTCTACCATTTTGTAGAAGGAATGTCATTGTTGCTATGTACAGTTTCCTTGTATGCATGTACATCTCCTTTTAAGCACACATATCAAGCGGATTTGGATAAATTTGGAGAGTTCATGGTACCACCCGGAACCGGTGCGGTGTACTTGGCCGTTCCCATTTTGATATTGGCGGTTATTGTGCATCCAAACCTAAATGCTGATTTCCTCAGTGATACCGCTTGGACTTACGCCATGTACCTCGAATCCGCGGCGTTACTCCCCCAACTATATATGTTCCAAAAACAGTCCTCGGGTGTCGTCGAACTACTTACCGCGCATTTCGTATTCGCTCTCGGGTTTGGTCGAGTTATGGAATTTCTTTTCTGGATCTACAGCTACCATGAGCTCGCCGATGCTTCCGGCTCGAAATTACCCGGATACTTGGCCTTGTTTTCCCAAGCCGTCCAGCTTATCATGATGCTTGACTTTTTCTGGTACTATTATTTGGCCGTGAAGAATGCTACGCCACTGGTGCTTCCGTCCCATGGTGGAGCAGGCATTGTCTAATGAATTAGAAACACAAAATACAAGCGAGTCACGCAGTATTGAAACTAGTCTGTTATCAGAACATAAAATTAAAATGAAATGCTATTGACTATTCGTCGTTAAGGTCTACTCAAGTTTTAGCACGCCACCAACTCGCCTTCAACATATATGAAGTGTAATGTAGTAGGAGTCTTGTTAGAGGGAAAAAGAATCCTTGCATACCGAATCCAGTGGGGGTTGTTGGAGCACTAAGATATGAAGGCCGGTAAAATCCGCATCGAGTGGCTTGATGCCTACAGTACCAACATTTCGAAACCAAAACAAACTGTTCTTCGGAAGAAACCTGCATTTATCATAATGGACTTCGTGCCGTCAAAGCAGAGGAACATATGATCTATGATCTGTAAACCCTGTCATATACATGAAGCAAAGAACGATACACATCTAATAAACATGAGCCAAGCTTGGTCGAATGATCATAAAACATACTGCTTCACACGAGTACTATCCATGAAAGTGGGTTTATACATTATCATGCCTACTGGAATAAGCGACCCGATCTTGACAAGAAACAAAGCATATGGTTGCTGACATGGTAGGTAATACGACGAAAATGGCTGTTGGAAATAATTAAATAAAAATGCAATGCAATGCGATCCACCGATCGATTGACGAATTCGTTGCACAAAAGGAAATATGGTACTCAAAACAACGTTTATTCGTCTTTCTTGGTTCCCAAATCTGAAACATTGTCGACAAGTTCGGAAGCAGTCGTGTCCGCCGACTTCTTTGCTTCTGCCATCGCGGTGTCGATTCGAGACATCGAGTTGGCGGAACTCTTCTTTAAAAAGTCTTTCAGAAAACTGTCGTAGAGGAATTTTGCACCACGGGTTTGTGGCAACATGGCCCATAACAGGAAGGCCAGCTTGAAAGCAAAGTAAAATGGAATCCAGTAAAGAATGAAATCTTGGAAGGTCTCGATCAAAGAAAAGAACGAAAACAGAACCCAGTAGACCGACCACTGAACATCGTCTCCCTTGTTTTTCTGTTCGATGGCCTTAACAGTTTGGTGTGCGGGGTAAATAAATCCAATAAACGAGCAAAGGGTATTTGCACCAATACCAAAAAAGACCAAGACGACAAAGAGGAAACTGCCCGCAAGAACCAAGACTTCTTTGGGAACCTTAACTTTGTCCTGTCGATCGAAAGGAGAATATCAAAAACTATTGTCAGTCACACAGGGTCAAGCAAAATTCTATGTTTCTTATCTCCCCACAATAGTTCAATCAATTCATTATCATGAACCATCAATAACTTTGCCACAAAGCTTGGCACTATCGGATTGAAATTATAGACACAATTGCCGAATGAAATCTGTTCGGGTTCCACGAAAGCAAAATTACTTTTTACTCACCTCGACATCCTGGAGTGCTGGGATCTGATCTAGCTTCACCCGAAGGAGAGCAAGCTGTTCTTGCACAAGTGCTTTTGCGTTGTCAACTGAAGCCATTGTAACTCTAATGTATACCTTACAGTGCGATGGGATCTATTCTACAGTAAGATGTGGTTATTGGATTGTACCTTTTTATCACTTTGATAGAGGAGAATACAGCTATGTTGATACTGTACGATTAGTTGTTGAGAGAACTCTTTCGACGTCCAGCACCCATAGAACGAATACTTTCGATAGTGCGGCGTACGTATCAGTCCGTAGAGAAGCAACAAACAGAAATCCAAACCATTTGTTTTCGTGATTGATCAATAGAACTACTATTCCTGAGCTTGCCTGCCGGCGTGTTCGCGATTTAAACATCGATTTAAAAATTCCGGCCAATCAGGATACTTTCCGGGTTCCTTTTAAACTGATCCTGCTCCCGCGCCACGCCGAAAAATCGAAACAAAGGAAATTTGGCGCGCTCGAATACAATGGAAATGAACAACTTAACAATGCTACTTCTTGTAACCGTAACGTACGGTACATACCGTATCGTACGGTACGGTTTTATCGTAACGTGCTAGGCAATGGGCAAGGAGCAGCTGTGACACAAAAACCGAAAATACCGGTTGCACCGCTGCTGTCGTACGTTACATGCCATAGCAAACCTCCACAACAAAGCAATATCTCAACCATACGAAGGAAGACGGCAATTTTAATCCAAAGGAAAAAGCGAGAATAGAAGGAACACCATGAACTACGGTAAGTCACATTTGGCACTGCATTGGTCACGCGTTAGCTCTTTTGGTGTACCGTACTCAGTCGTTCCTCTCCGGAACCCAACACAGCCCTCTCACCCAGCTACCGACCGGCTTGCAATTCAGGAATGGACTTTCAGGGAGGGGACACCGGCGGGGGCGGGKTTTCGAACAATGGCAACAACTACGGGGGAGGCTCCCAGGGAAGTCCAACCAAACAACGCCGCAACTACGACGAGCAAACCCTCATCCCCATAACAATTTCGATGGCCTTCAAGGCCCGCGCGAACCAGTCGGGGGGAGACGATACGCTCACGCTAGAAGACGGCCGCCCGCTACACTCCGCCAAGATCATCGCCGCCGTGCGATCTGCTGATGTCCAATCGACGAATATTATGTACACGATCGAGGACGGGACCGGTGCCCTCGATGTGAAACAATGGTTGGACGACAACGACGCGGAGGAGATCGTTGAGATGAAACAACAAACCGCCAAGGAGCACACATACGTCAAGGTGATCGGTCAGATCAAGGATTATGATGGAAAGAAGCAGCTAGTCGCCAATTCGGTCCTACCGTTGTCGTCGGGGAATGAGCTAACCCACCACTTGTTGGAGGTCATTTACAGCGCCGAAAAGTTCAAGCAGGCCGACAGCATTGTTGCAGCGCCGATGACCACCGGTATGGCCTTTGGAAACAACAAACCGATTCAACCAAAGGTAGAGGGAGGAGACGCGGGATTCTCGGTCAAGGATCGAGTGCTACAGTTCTTGAGACAACACGACAACGACAGCGAGATGGGAAGCTCGATCGATCTGTGCATCGAGCAGATGAAAGACGTTTCGGAGGCCGACATTCGAACGGCCGCTCAAGATTTATCGGAAGAGGGGCAAATATATTCGACTGTCAACGAAAATTATTTCAAGGTCGCTATGTAGCAGGGTGCAATAACGAACGGAAGGTGAAATAACTTGAATATACATATACAATCAGTCTGAATTTGTGTCCTTATTTCTTTAGATGATTACCAAATTGATCTGTTCGCTTGTTTTACGACATTTCGGAAGCGCTAGATTTCATCTAGTAGCTGGAACCCGTAGAATCGCGAGCGTTGTTGCCCAACACGGTCGAAACGACGCGGAGAATTTCGTCTGGCGACGCCAGAGCCCCGTTTCCAACCTCCCCGCACGCCAGGGTCTTGACCTGGGGCGCAACGATGCAAAGCGTGTCGCCGCTGCATTCGCGTTTGTCCATTCCCTTCCCGAAGTTTTCTGGTTGTGACGGGGTCGCACCGAAAAAGCCCCGTATGGCCGATAGCTGCGCTTGCGTTAGTGGATGGTCCCACATCGCCGTGTTCATGGCGGGGGCCAGCAGTAGGGGTTTTCCAGGCCGGGGGCCGTGGCCAAAATCCCAGGCACGGACCACGCACGAAAGCGTATCGTCGCAAAATCCGTGGGCCATCTTGGCGAGGGTGTGAGCGGACAGGGGCGCCACCAACAAAAGGTCGGCCCAGTCTTTTTTGTGTGATTTATATTGCAACCGCATTGGGGTCGAAAAGGGTGAGGAATATTGTTTTGTAATTATCAGAACACACACACACAGATACGTTTTCTCCCCTGCTATTTCATAGCAAGTGGAAGCTATAAATATTGCCCGATTCTCACTCACCTCGAAGGTCTATGTGGAGTACTGGATCCCCGAGTTTCTTCCACTCCTTCCATTCGTCATCAGCATCTGTGTCGAGAAAAAGCCATCAAAACGAGTCCGTGACCAATATGAGGATTTTCCAGTCGATTTTAAAAATCACTCGCTATTCCGATGCCAATCGATCAAAACCGCGAGGCGCATTCTCTTGCAAACAACCCCAAGGCCACGCCAAAACTCACAACACACTGAAATCCTTGGTTCACTGCATTTGCCGTTCCCGTCGTTATTTTCACCCTCCGAGCCCGATGATCGCAGCAGGCCTTGGAGCGTATCCCAGTACTGCAGATTGTAGTCCCTCGCCTTGCTCCAAAAGTTTTCTCCGCCCCGAGTCAGCAGGATGCGAACGTCCGAATCGAGCTCGCGTACCAACCGGACTGCGATTTCCGGTCCTTTCACGGCTGCCACCGACCCCGTGACGGCAAACAAGATCCGAGGGCGTCTCCGTCGTCGGTTCAGAGGCCAGGAAGAGTCGTCGGGTGGCATTCGTATCGTCGAGTCACTTCTCTTCGGCACGCCGTAATCGTATGCTATGCGGGATGATACTTTATGGGATCACAAGAATTGAAAACCTGTCACGAAAAGAAAATTGTGTAAATTGAATACTACTTGGGTACTGTAATGCCGTACAGTACAGTATGAATAAAGCGTAGGTGTCGTCTGTGTAGCGTAGCGTCGCGTAGTGAGTCGATTGGTTTGGTTATTCCAAAACTAGTAGAAGTACTTCGTGTGAGGATAAATACGTGGAACAACCACAATCACGAGTAGCTAGTGAATAACCTCACTCTTTATTGTAAACACCCGTTTATCATACGGTACAGTAAGGAGCATTCTACCATTTCACAGGTTATGAGCTCAAGTACCGGTTTTTTCTACCAACAAACTTAACGCTTTCGATACATACATGCAGAAACGCATTTATTCTACTGCAACGTACAGTAGACAGTAGAAAATTCATGCCCGTTATGCTTTGGAACTCAACGATTTCTGATTGTGTCTAGTCCTACGGTTGAAAAAGCGTTGTGTGTCACAACCCTACCGCCCGCCTATCGACCAGAGGTTACCACTCTGTACCGGTAGTGCATTGTACGAGGGACGAGCCCAAAGTCTCGAAAACTGCTACTCGTACTACAAAATCTGGACTACCGCAACGGTGTGGGTTAGGTGTGGGCGACACAGAAGCAGTTGCTTCAAGCAGATCTTTTCCCTGCAACCCGGCATTTCTCTCAAAACACCGACGACCTGACAGGGGAATGAATACCGCAAGACCGACGATGGGCGTCTCTGACGGAAAAGGAAGGAGGAGCAAGACGGTCGACGGCGACGACTACGAGTATGGTTTCGACGGCAACGATGGCGACGAAGAAGAAAAATACACCTCAGAGGCCTGGGGAAATGTGTTTCGAGAATTCCGCCACTCCCCCTGCATGATGCGGCCGGCAACCATGCTGATGATACTGGCTCTGGCCGTCTTTTTTACCGTCACTCTCGCCTTCCAGATCCCGGGGATGGTGCTTGGGCTGTTCATGGCGCCGATTCTGAATCGGAGTTCCTGGTACGTCGAGTTCTTGTATCCGCTGCCCATCAGCCGGTGGGGGCACATGCTGCTGATGTCATTTACGTCGAAAATGAGACACAAGGCGAAGGACAAAAATCGGGGTTTTCACTCCAGGACCGTCGAGCAAAGAGTTGAGGTCGTCCCCGGGAGGGTCTACATACACTTTCTTCCGCAGTGGCTGGACAACGTTGGGTACCTCGTGGTGTGTCTCCCGGAACCAATCCCGTGTGGCGGCAGCTTTACCACCGTCGAGAAGGGCTCGAACGCGTGTCCCCCGGTCGCATTGGTGGTGGACTGCGGAGAAGTCGATGCCGTTCTTCGCTCGGTGGATTTGATCCAGGACTTTCACTACAAGGGTATGCCCAAGATCCAGCTACAGGCGATTCTGAGCACGCACAAACACCACGACCACACCGGTGGTAACGCCTCGCTCCTGAAACACCCCGCCGGGAAAGACATCACGCATGTGTACGGAGGAGCCGTCGAACGGGTCCCGTGCTGCACGGACCTGCTGGTGGACGGAGAAAAACTCGAGCTGCCCAGATGCAAACTGAACGACATGAACGCGCTGGTGGAAATTGAAGCGATTGCTGTGCCGGCCCACACGCGGGGAAGCCTCGTTTACTGCCTACGGACAAAATCCGGCAGGCAGGCCGAGTACATGTTCACGGGCGACACCATGTTCAGCGGGGGTGGGGGTGTCCCCTTCGAGGCGGACACCGGGGTCGAAACCGACAAACAGCTGCGCCGGAGCAACGGCCACACACACGTCCGGGGGAATCTAGGAGCGTTTGCAATGGAGCGGTGCTTTTCCGAAATCATTTCCAGGGCAAAGCCAAGCAACTTTTCCACAGGCGTCGGCGAGCGCATCCTGGTGTTTCCGGGCCACGAGTACACGCAAGAGCTGCTGATACGGCAGTTCCAGAGCATGGTTAGCGAACACAACAAATGGAAAAACTTTTCACCGAAGGACTACTTCGAGACCGTTTCCCACCTATACGTGGCCCTGCACCGACGGTCGCTGCCGCACAACAGCGGGAGGTTGCTGCTCATCCCGTCCACGATACAGCGGGAGCTGCACATCAACCCACACATGCGCTCGCTTCGGCGCAGCGCGGATCTCGTGGTCCGGGCCCTGAGCTTTTGGAATACCCATTTTTCCAAGGCAGGAGCAGGTGACGATCGGTCTTCGCCCAGCGCATATAGGTCCTCCAGATCCTCTCGTAGGTTGTCGATCCGTGAGCAGCAGCCCCTGCCGAGAAAAACCCCGTCCAGGTTCAAGCAATGGAACCTCGACGCGGAAAACGTCAACAGCAACGCTTTTACAACGGTCTACACGGCGGACCTGGATTCCGTCATCGAAGATCTGGCTTGCGGAAAAATAAAAAAGAACAAGGCATTCGAACGAATACAGTCTCTGAAACAAAAGATGTCGAAGCCCGTTGTGAACAAACGAGCTATTCCGGGATTCCTGCCTTCCGACAAGAATATATATCGCGGAATATGCGGACTTGCAGTCCTGGGGTCGAAACCCTCTGCGATGACCGTCTCGGACAGCCGAAAACTAATGATTCCTCCGCCGATGGACTACAACAGCGACAGGATCCGTGTGAGTATGAAGCGCCTGATCCTAGTCTTGACACGCCTGGGCTTGACGGAAACGAGCGAAGGTGACGACGTCTCTGCCATTATCAAGAAACTATGGAAGGAAGCAAACGATTATTGCAACCCACAGGAATGCGGCAAAACCTACAACGCTATCGATTTAGAATCTAGGAAACATTGCGATGAAATCGAACTCGGGGTGCTCAAGTGGCTTATGTATGGGGTGTCGGCCAATCAGCCGTCCTGGTTTTCCAAGCTATTTTGCATGCCGTGTGGCTCCTCCAAAACCAGCATGGTCTTTCCGGAGCACCCGGCCTCCGCAATGGACAAGAAAAGTGGCGATATGGTATCCCACGACATTGTGGAATGCCACTTGTGCCAGAACGCCACGGGGCGTTTGCAAGTTCAGCGCTCCTCGGCTTCCTTTGACAGCAACTCTGCTGGCAGCAGCAGTGCCCGGTTTTCGCTGCAAGAAACAGAATCCGACGAATCGAATCTGATCGACGACCTGAATCACGAGATCGAAGTAACGACGCAAACGATTCTGCAGGAGACTCCCAGCTTTACCGCCAGTGAGCTCGCTCCATCGTTTCCGACTTAAATCATTGCTTTCGCCTATCGCACTGAAGTAATCATCTTTTTACTCGCCCTCGTCTTTTTGGTTGCATGCGAATTTTTTCGTGTCGGGGAACACTGTTCACAGTCTTGCTCTGTTTGTATACGAAACATTTAGTTCTTTGATGAATGCCTTCAATGCCTCCGTATAATCTTTGTGATGCTTGCGAAGATGATTGCAATGAATTGAGTGTTCCCACAATTTGAACAGCACTGGACATTTCTGATGCAACTGTCGGGTCTCAATGATCTTCTCAATGTATTCGTGGTTCGAGAGCTCGTCGTTTTTGCTGTGAAGGTAGAGCTGGGGAACATCCAATGGCAGAAATGCGAGGTATTCGAAAAATTCGATGCTGCGATTCACGAGGTCGTCGTCGACTGCATCAATTCGTTCTCCGTGCACAGATCGAACGGCTTGTCTCTCTTCTAAGCTGCAGTGCCGAAGGGCCTGGGACAACTTGGAACCTTCCTCTTTCGTACCAAACCAGCACGGGCAGGAATCGAAGACAACCCCGTTGCATTTGTCGTGGAGTGCCTGCAAGACAGCCCCGACCTGGCGGTTGCAATCTTTGTTGTCCCTGAAGAGCAAGATGCGACAGATGCTTTCCCACAAGAAGCAACCGCCGTTCGAAAAACAGTGAAAGACGAATACATCGGCTCCGCTGTTGTGGATATCTGCGAGGACGTTCCACGCCAGGTCTTGCATTCTGTTGCGAGCGATGCCGTTCCTGGCGGACGGCACGGACTCGGTGTTGGCCCCCGCGCGCAACGGCCATTTGCTTGGCGACGGAACGTGGATGGGGTTCCGGGGCAGGGATTGGTAGGTGAGAGTCGAATCGATGACGGACAGGGGAGTTGCGACGACGGAGAGCACCTCGAAGCCGAGCGAATTGTACATCGCCTCGTAGCGCTGTAGAAACTTTGGTTGGCACCCCAGCCAACCCCCCATCACCGCCAGCGACGATGCCCTGTCGGTGACCATGGATGGCTTCGACGAGAATTGGAGCGGGAGGAATGGAGCGGGAAGAAATCGCAAAAGTACTAATACTAGACTTGCTTATTACTACTGGTAGAACTAGTATGACATGATGGACAACTACTAGTAGAACTTTACTAGTAGAACTAGTAATACATGATGGACAACAAAGAAGAATGCTAGTAGTAGTAGTAGCTCATCATCAGCTCCAGGACCAAATCCTCAGCCTTGACGCAAACGTTAAAATAGAACGCGGTACTAATGCATCAAGAATGGAGTACTGCACTCAAGTTTCGTACGTACCGTACAGTGCTGCACGTAAAATATGTTTCAAAGGTTAGGTTGAAAAAGCGGGCATTTGAAAATAAAATTCGGAACTACTCCTAATCATTCGGTTCGCACATTTCGTATGTAGCAATATGTACAAAACAAAATATCAAGAGAACAGTATATATTATTTAAAAAAGGAAAAAGTACTTCTGGGTCTTTGTACCGGTAATAAACAGTGAAGTAGAAGTACAGTTGATAAAGAAGAGAAGAACCTTTTTCTGTTCTCTCCCAAGTTCAAGTTGGACGTCTAGCATAGTAACGAGTACTCGTACTTCAGAAACCTAAGTGATATCGAACATCGCGTGGAGAAAACGTCCAAGCACGATCGAAATTATTATCAATGTTCTGTGGGTATCACGGTGATACACGTAATCGTAGAACCTATCTCGATTCACCACGTGTTCCTCTTTGCTTAACCGTACGGTACTGTACTGTATGGCAACAATACCATACTCTACGGTCTCTGTACAATCGTCCTTCGTCGAGTGGCTTGAAATGAACTAAGGGACAATCATATTTTTCCGTACCGGTACGTTGGGTTAGTACCGTAGGGTACGATACGTAGAAAAGTCTTTGCGTAGTAAGTGCAATCCCGAAAGCATCTCTCATCAGATTTGACTAAGAGTACAGTACGTACGAGTACTCGTCTGTAGTAGTAGTTCTCAAACCATAATTTTTTGTGTACCTAGTCGTCTACTGGAGGTCATACAAAAGAGTCATCATTTCCTATCGCTGAAGGTATTATGTCTAGATTCATCAGATCGATGGCGGGAGGTTTGTTTTTAATGATTTTTAATAATATCACTTTCTAATTAATGAATTACCGTACTTTATTGCGTTCGATCGTGACCCAACGCAGGGGGCATTCAAAAACAAAACACTACGCTACCAACTTCGTACCCCACCATACCTTTCGCTCGACAGCACGCTAATCGTACTATCGTTTGAATCTGCGTGGTGCCAAATCAAATGATAATCGCGTTTGTCTCCCTTCATCTATCTATCAGAGACGTAGAGAGATTGAAAACTACGCACTCGAAACCAATCATAAGGTACAAAGAAAGAAAAGCAATCTTAGTCTAAACTCTGTACAGTAGTTACCGCGTCTACCGGGCGTGGGGCGATCACTCTCTGCTTTTTGCGCAACAAGTCCATACATTTCGAACATAATCAATATGTCCGGCGATAACTCACCGGTTACAGAAAACGACCATGCGAGGGAGGTCTCGCCTACCAACTCCGATGGCCATGGTACATCAAAGAGCACGAGCCGCCGGAAGGGTGACGGGAGGGAAAATAGCGGTGACAAATTGTCGTCCCACGCGATGCATCCGTACCGTTCGGATCAACCCCAATCCACCAGCGGTCTGACAAAAAAGGTCGGCAATCGGCGGCGGATTTCGAGATCGACAAGATCCCCGGATGATGAAAGCACGATTAGCAACGGAAGCTCGGAACTATCCAAGCGTCGATCGGTTTCGAGGAGCGAAAGCGAAAAACCGCAGGGAAGAGAAAGCGATCGCGCTCCGTTACCGCCGAGTAGGATGAGAGAACGCCATGATTCGGACGGTCCGCCGAAGCCAAAAAGTGTTAGCAGAAGAAAGGAACCACGGTCGTCCGATTCTTTGGATACAGAATTAAGAGCCCCGCGGGAGCATAAGGAAAAGCAACGCGTGACACTGCGTGGTGGAGAAGACGAAAACAACGTTGGACAGCCTTCGTTCAACTCTTCTGCCGACAGTGTCGGGACCAGTAGAACCAATCGAAGCAGGAAATCATCTTCCTCCACTTCCAAAACGGAAGATCCCACTACGGATGAGTCGTCGCAGCTTAGTGACAAGATGAGGAGACGAAACAGCAACAGCAGCGGTGGTAGCAGCAAACAGGGCTCTTCTACAAGGTCGAGGAGGTCCAAAAGTGAACGAGAACAGGGGAATCGACTTTCTCGAAGTAGAAGCAATCGAAGTCCTCAATCATTGAAAGGAGGGACGGACGAGCGAAGCTCGAGCCGGAAGCAACTCACCTCGGACGACCGAAGCTCCAGCCGAAAGAAACTCACCTCGGACGACCGAAGCTCCAGCCGAAAGAAACTCACCTCGGACGACCGAAGTTCGAGCCGAAAGAAAATAACTGTATCCGAAGACGAGATCATGGCACTGCTGGGGTCGACGTACGATGGACCATTGAACACAGGGGACGAGGAGGTTCGATCCATCTCCCCAAAACTCGAGAAGAGAATCTCGAGATCAAGGGGAACCACTAGCCCGCGTCGGAACAACAGCCCTCGTCGGCAGAATAGTCCACACCGACGCAGTAGCCCTCACCGACAAAGTGATAAGAAAAGAATGATTCGGCGCGCAAGCAACGATCCGGATCTGACAACTGACAAGAAAGAAAGAAAACAACGAATTCCGCCGAGGAGATCGCGATCGGACGAACTCGAACCCAACAACGGATTGAACCACTTTTTAGAGAAAGATTTGGGCTCCAGAGAACGAAGGAAAGGGGCCATAGGATCTAGGAGTGTTGCGTCGGCAACATTGAGTGGTTCCAGAAGCATATTATCGACAAGGTCGTCTCAAAGTAGGCGTCGTCGACAAAGTAGTAGCACTGGCAGGATCTTGAAACACCAAGTCAGTCCCGATGTTGTTGAGGAGGAGAACTTGAGCGATGACATGAACAATTCTGATATGATCAATGGTTTCAACCACGACGATTACGACGACGATCAAGAAAGCATCGACCTCGATCTGGCCACTGCCAGGGAAAATTTCGCACAGCAAAACGCAAACGCAAAACTCCAATTGCACCTGAACAAGACTGATGAGCTGCTGTATTCGGTGTTTCCAAAGCACGTTGCAAATGCGCTACGTAATGGACAAAAGGTGGAACCCGAGAACCACGAATTGGTGACAATTTTCTTCTCTGACATTGTCGGTTTTACCGACATATCTGCAAAGCTAGATCCATTGAAGATATCCGATATGCTGGATCGTCTCTACAATAGCTTTGATGCCCTTTCCGATTACCACGATGTATTTAAAGTTGAAACGTAAGCTTTTTATGCCGCAGCAAATTGGAATGTGTTCAGATGCAAATCAATAGAAGGAGACTTTCTTACAATTTTTGTTTTCGATTTTTTTAAATCATGTTTCGAAAGCATTGGGGACGCCTACATGGCGGTGACAAACCTCACGAAAGAGCAGCCCGACCACTGCAAGCGAATCACCGAATTTGCGATCGACGCAATCCGAGTCGCAAACCAAACGGTGGTCGACGAGGAAAATCCAAGCATGGGATTTGTAAACATCCGCGTCGGGTTTCATTCCGGATCTGTAGTAAGCAACGTGGTCGGCGCACGCAATCCGCGGTACTGCCTGTTTGGGGACACAGTGAACACGGCAAGCCGCATGGAAAGCAACTCGCAGAAGAACCGCATCCATTGCAGCGAAATATCCGCCAACCTTCTGAGGAGGCAGTGCCCGAGGATGCGGATCTATCCTCGCGGAACAATCGAGGTGAAGGGCAAGGGTGAGATGAAAACATTTTGGGTCCACACCGAGGGTTCAGTGGCCCATAAAGACAAAAAGAACGGAACAATCCGCGGTTTCATGAAGTCCATAGGAAAGAGGGGATAAAAGAAACACCTGGCATAGGCGCTATAGGTTTCTTCTATAAAATATAACGGATTCGATTCGATTTTTCGTCTATTTCGTCATTAATTTTCTCTATTATTACCATACAACATTGCCACACTCTGCTGAGAGCTCCTTTTCAAATACTGCCACCTCCGGCTCCTAGGAAATGAGCAACCACGTCGCTGAACGGTTTGAAAAAAATTGGTGTTTGGTTCACCACTGCCGTGTTCGTGTAAAACTCTTGAGCAACAAAGCCCGTAATAGCAAGCATGGCCAGTCTCCCGTTAAAGATCTCTGCTTCTCGCACGAAAACACTCTGTTGGCCGTTGGTTCCGGCAAGTGACAGCGGGTCGAATCCAAAGTCGCCAGGCTCTCTGCTGTCTCCGTTCTTTGTCGCAACAAATTCCAGGGCAGCCGCGGCACTAATGGCGGACACCCAGAAGAGCGGGTTCGTAAGGCCCAGGCCTCCGTTCAAGACGGTTGGGACCCTTCCTCCGATCCCCAGGACCGGATCCAGGTCGAACCGCGTAGCAATCGATTTGTGGGCGAGCTCGGCGAGGGGCCATCCGACGGCTGCCAGCATGGCGAGGCGTGCGTGCTTGATCTCGGAATCTCTGTACCAAGCCATGGCCGAGGGGTCCGACGCAAAGTTGAAGGGGTCGAAGCCTCGATCCCCCGGCAGGGAGCCGTCGAGGTGCTCCGGGCGTTTCAGGAACGGTAAGGAAGGGGACATCTCGACGTCCCTGGTCACCTGTGATTCGTCTTTGTAGAGAGAGAGGGGGTCGATCACGGTCTCGTCCTTTTCGAGCGGCTGTTCGAGCGCCGAGATCATGCCGAAACGGCGCTCGTGCGAGTTGGTGGGATAGAGGCCCAAGGGGTCGAAAATAGGTTGCCGAATCGGCTCGTTGTCCGCGACAGAAGTCGCTTGTGTCTTCGTTGCCTTGATGTCGTTGCTTCTTGGGGAAAACGCCAATGCGTTGGAACCGAAAGTGACGAGAACGAGTGTAGAGAACTTCATGTTGGGGTGGTGCGGTTCAAGGAGTTGTATATGTTTGCTTCTGATGGAGTTGTTTTTTCTCTAGTTGAGTTTTAATTTGTGAATCGCATGAGAGGACGAAGCGATGCCATGCAATGCAACACCCAATGATCTTTCACTCGTTTGGGAATGTTCTTGGCTTGAGTATGACGCGGTCTGGCAACTCTTGCTTTGACTGCGTCAACATAGAAATCTCAGTCGGCATATCTCTAGTCACTGTGCGATGCTTGACACCTTTCTCCTACTGAGCCGTTACATCCAACACCGATTGCGTCGATCGTGAAACTCAGGTTTTGTAGAACTTCGTTTTGTATTCGTAGTCATCAAACCATCTTTTTTTCTAGAAGTTCTTCCCCCTTCACAGGCCCTGACAGTAGGGACCGAGTCAGTTACTCGTACGGTCCGTAGCGTACATAGTTTTCGGTACGAGTTACTCGTACACTAGGCAATCATTCATAGTGAGTTGAGTTGAGAGCCAGCCGTGTCGTTTTACAAGTCGTGCGATAGGCAGTCATCCAGTCGTGTTGTTCAATTCAACATCATACCTATGCTTATGTAATATTATACATATGCTACTATCCAATATCCGATAGAAATCGAGATGAGCTCCTTGCTCCTTGGATTGGCGAACAAGGAGAAAATCATACGGTACTACGTACCGTACCAAGTACCGTACGATTGGATTGTTTTGTGTTGATCGAAGTATTTCATACGGGTTCGTACTCGTACGTACTCCCAGAATTCTGCCATACCGAACTACGTAAATCAGTACAAAGACGAATACGAAATGGGACGTAACTCACATGAAGAAACCGTCTGTTCGAGTTTTCCCACGAATCGTGCGTAAAGTCGAATGACCGCGACGAAACCGAAAGTATTGGTTTGCATCCGACTTGCAACAACATCACTATTATTACTACTATTTATTATTCCATCCGATCGATACCAACACCCCGGTACCAAAGGATAATATACTACATCATATTGCAAACTGTTCGTTCTTACAGTAAAATCTACGAAGAAAGTTGCAATGGGACGGAGCCAGAGAGAAGAAAAAAAGCCGTGCTGTACTTGGCCCAGAATACTGGTCCTCGTGGTGGTACTCATCGCCGGGGGCGTTTGTCTGTGGAAGTTTGGTCCCTGGGAGGACACGATCAACGATGTTCTCGACAGTATTCCGATCCCTGGTGGAAGCGATGGGAAGATACCCCCACCAAACGATGATTATATCCCGCAAACGCTAACTCCCGTCAGCGGGGCAACGGCATCTCCCACGGCAGCGCCGCCCGACTATGATTTCATCCAGTGCAACTCCGATGGCACCACCACACCGTCCAACTGCTGCAACGGGCTCGAGGGCCTCTGCGACCTGCGCGTCAACGAGGTGATGTACGCCACGCTGCACAACGCCATGGCAACCTTTGAGAACGGTTTTTTGTTCGGACCCAACCACAAATTCCAGCTCGAGGGAGCCCTTGAGGCCGGGTACCGCGGGCTGAATCTCGACATTTGCAACTGTGGAGGAGAGCTCCAGTTTTGTCACGGTGAGTGTCGCATCGCTTATTTTCGTGCTTCTTGTAAGGAATTTTTCAGCAGCAAGGTGGGATTAATCGATGACTAATTGGTATTATTTTTTCAGGAATTTGTGCGCTAGGCCCGAGGGAAATCGTTGATGTGATGCAAAGTGTCAATACATTTCTTGACGAGAACCCAACGGAAGTTATCATCTTCATTTACCAGGTCAACGATGATGTTGATCAAGAAGTTGATCTGAATAAATTCTACGACCAATTGCTGTTAGTGGATGGATTGGTTGACAAACTTTATGTTCACCCAGATATCGAAGCTCCCTGGCCTACTTTGGGAGAAATCACCGATCCAGAATTCAATAAGGTAAATTACATTCCGCGAGGTTCTTTGAATTATGATGCTAAACTATGATTAGCCTTTTCCGATATCGAATCACTCACCTCGATCCACTGCATTGCTTTCTGTCGAATTGCTTGTCACCTAAGCGCATTGTGATGTTTCACTACGGGGGCCCCAATTGCAGCATCGATCCCTTGGCATGTCCCGATGGATTGCACCTATACTACGAGTACGGATCGGATAACGACTGGGAGCACTCTGGCATGGAAAGCATCAGGGACAGGGTGAATTCGTGCGAATTGGGACTAAACGGGTTCAACAAAAGGGATTTTGTCGGACTGAACAACTTTGTCTCTCCGCCCTCCCAAAGCACCGCGGCGAAGGCCAACGAATACTCAGAGGTCTTGGACTATGTCAACACGTGCTCCGCGCTTTTGGAGACAGACATTAATTTTGTGCTGATCGATTTCTGGAGCGTGGGCGACCTGCCGCGGGCGACACAGGACCACAACGCTGCTCTCATCGAACGGCGGCGGCGGCAACTCCAACGGGAGCGCGGGCTGCTCCGGGCGGAGTGAGGGACAGGAATCCACGGGAGTTCCGCCTGTCCACAGACGGCAGGAAGAAAGACATCACAACGCTTGGATGAACGGAAAGGTCGTTTTCGTGCAACACTCCACACGCTATGCGACATCCATAACAAACTACACCTTATCTACAAACTGGATAGCAGGCTTAGTTTGCAATCAATCGACCCAAGCACCGACAGCTTGCAGAACACTGCGAACAAATAAACAAATAAAAAAGTGATTATTTTTTCCTTCATCATCTAGAAATATAAATAATGAACAACGTTCCCCTGATGCATGACATTGACATTGAATTCGGGTACAATATCCATGCAATTTAATGTATGTTACTTGAATGAAACTTTCACATTTTCTTTCTCAAACCAAAACCCGACAATTTTGTTCCGTCACGCAACATTTTCAGTCTGCCTGCGTTTTGGAGTTCTGCAATATCTCGGGAATTTTCAGTTTGCCGTACTTGGAACGGCTGTTCTCTTTGTAATCCCGAACCTCCGAAATTTTGTCGAGGCAAAACCTATCGTACTCTTCCATTGCCAGTATTGCTCGTTCGATTTCTTCGCACACCGCAGCCTTTCTAGCCACGTTTTCTTCTTCATACTGCTGCCGCAAAGCCTCGAGTTCGGTGCACTGCTGCTCGAATTTTGCCATCTGTTCTTCCAGCGCAACAGGGTCGCGAAGAGATGCTACCTTGGTCTCGATAGATTCTGCCTCCCTCAATCTGACACCGAGCTTTGCGTCTTGGGCCTCTCGTTCGGCTTCCATTGTCTCCTCGCACTTATCGATTTTGTGTTCGATGATCCTGTGCCGCTCCAAGGCTTCGGTAAAGGCCTCTTCGCTCTTTTCTAATTTGTCGAGGGCTTCTTGATATTTCCACTTCGAATCAGATATCAATTTCGAATACTCTTCGTAACAAGGTGTCAAAACATGCTGTACGGTTCCTGGTAGATCGACAGCAAGCAGCTTGGATGGATCAGATTCCAACACGGCTTCTTTGTCGATGGTTGCCGTCATGTCGACAGCCTTCGATGCTATCATCGGTAATATTTTGAGATCCCCCGCATGAGAGCTATAATCGGATACCAAAGATTCCACTTCGCTCCACAAGTTTTCGACTTCCGATTCGATTTCCCATAGTTCACTGCGACGTTGATCTCTCAATGCAAATGCACGTTCGATCGCTTCTTCGACACCCTTCTGCTCGTTTCTCATTTTCTGAACATCTGCCAACGACAGCTCTTGGTTGTTGACGCATTCTTTTAATTTTTCTACCTTTGATACAATTGCCGTAAGTTTCTTGCTCGTTTCTTCCAATTCGCTTGATTGGTCGTTCTTTCTTTGCTTTAGTTTCGTAACGTGTTGATCCATTTGATTAATAAGATCATGAAATTGCTCAAGATCTGTCGCATAGCTATCACGTTTTTTCAACATGTCTTCGAGGCTGAGGAGGAAAACGAGCAGGAACGGAATGTTGCACGTGTCAGTTGTTGGACGAGAACGATGGGATGTATAGTCAGATGCTGCTCTCGTTAAAACGTGGAAAACTTACTCCTTTTCGCCGAGACTCAGGTTGTTCATCTTTTCGACAACGGCGGCGTTGTGGTCCGTCATTTGCTCGATCTCCTGCATCAAGATGTTGTCGTCGCCTTCCAGGCGATCCGCCAACCTCATCTCGAGGTCCTCGCGGAGCTTTTCGTCTCCCTTCAGAAATGCTACGTACGACGCACTCAGATACGAGAAAAAATACTGGTCCGTCTTGCGTTCCAGCTCCTCCACCGACTCGAACTGTCCGCTGTGGTTGTTGTCTTCCTCGGGGATCAGGTTCTCCATGCACTGGAGGCGTTTGACGAGCCAGGTAAGAGCGGCCAAAAGAGTCGGCCATGTGTGGGGCGATCCGGCTGCAACCAGGGCCGTCTTGCTCACGGCAAAGGGATATCCCATCGCCTTGAAATTCATCGCAATCTCGTCCTCCATTTTCAGGGTCCCGTCCTGAAAACTGGGATCCACCCGGCGCAGCATGAACGTGACGATGTTGCTGAAATCCTTGCCCGACGGACGGGAAAGGCTTTTGTGCGAGATAGGGTGTTCGTACCCACTCTTTTGCAGGTAGGAAAAGAGCTCCTTGATGCATTCCTGCTGGTAGGCTTTGTTCGAAATCGGGCGGGGATCGGTGATGGCCGGTGCACTCGGGGGCATCAGCGATTGCCGGCGATCCACCGCGCTGCTTTTGCGGCGTCCCGACTTCATCGCGGAAGAGACCCTTCGCTTCGGATCCTGCCTCGCGGAAGAAGGAGTGGGCGGGATCATGTTCTCGCGCCCGACCCGCGGTATCATGGAAACCCGTCCCCGGGGGGGTCGCTTGGCGGAGCCATGGGCGTGGCTTCCCGGATCGACGGATTGTCTTCGATTGCTGTGGTTGCCGTTCCCGAGGCCACCGCCGCCCAGGGTTTGTCGTCTGGAGCTAGACCTGGTGCGATGCATGTTGGTTCGCTTCTGTATCGGCCCTGTGGTTATGGCTTGCTGTGGCTTGGATGTTCTCACGCACTGCCGCTACTCGTACTCGTACTGTAGTAGGGTACCGTACCGCACTGGTGTATTCCCATCGACGTTCTCTCGGAAGGCTTGCTTCGAAGCCTGTGATGCGTGCCGTACAGTACCGGAAGGTCGGGAGTCAGTCGTCGTCGACAAGATCACTTTTTGAAATATCTTGAATGGTGAGCACGCGCGCGTCTGCATGATTCGACTTGCATCTCGCTTTCCCTGGTTCCTACGGTACTACTGTATGATATGTACCAGGTATCATAATATTATGTCGAATGTCAAATGTCAAGAAAGATGTTGATTGTCATAATTAATCGATTGAGTCGAAATCGACCAATTGGTGAGGAGGCGCCCCTTGCCCCTTGTGTGTAATCCTGCTCGTTACGTAGCGTACGTTCGGTACCACACAGTACGGTACGCTAGGAAAAACCATGCCGACTAGAGTAGAAGTGGTTTACGTACCGGTACATGCATACCGTGTATCGTACCGTACAGTAGTACGAGCATAGCTACCGCGCCGAAGGCCACAACGCGGGTGAAACAAGCAAAGAATACGACGTAGAAGTACGATACTCGTACTCTACAAGCTTACGGCTTCAACGATCCAGAGCGATCAGAACGGCTCGTTCCGTTGTGCTCTGCATAGTCTAGACCCGTTCGCCGTGTGGCACACCACACTTTCTCGAAAGCTGCGAGCAGGAGCACAAGTGGACTGAACAGAATCAGATTCGACCCTAGCGAAAAAAGACCAATACGGCACAAATCATTGGCGTCGAGGAGTGCGCCGTCGCCGTCCCCCGTTGCGCGTTGGATTACCAGGAGCGTGCCCTTTGGGGTTTTGTGAGCAACCGGCGCAGCAGCATGTCGTCTCCCTCGCACATCCCTCGGCAAGCGGCCGAATGGATCGCCCACTTCTATTTCCCAATGAGAAGGTACAACCCGGACTTTGTGGACCGGCTAGAAGAGAACCTCGGGATCCTGAAAATCAAGGAGCTCAAGCCGCTGCAGGCCCGGTTGTATTCCATGGATGCGGTGCGGTCGGAAGGCGGAATAGAAAAGTGCCGGCTTCTTTCCTCCGCGAAGAAACAGCAGCGAGTCGATTTCATTCGGAGGGCTTTCTTCCGAGACAGAGCTTGTGCGATCGTCAACCACCGTCTGATGGAAGACCTGCGGACCGAAATGTCGAGGTCCACGGACACTCTCTCGGCAGCTGCCAACCCCTGTGGCGCGAACGGGTATGCATCGGCAGCTTCTGCCGCGCACGATCCCTACGCTACTGCGAGGAGTCCCTCCGGGAGCCGAAAGAGACCAAACCACCAGATATCGTCGCAGGCTTCGGCAGCGTTGCTTCGGCTTCAGCAATATCAACAGCAAAGACAACAACGACCGGGGGGTCTGCCACCGAACGCAACGGGTCCCAATCCCGAAGCCGAGGGAGCCGACTTTTTTAGTTCCTTCGTGCACTTTGTTGGAGATCGGCGGGGCGTGGCGGCAGTCCAAGGCAGCAGGGTCAATACTAGCACCAGCAGCAACCCGAGCAGCAACCATCCAAACATCAACGTCGGTAGCATTAACAATAATACCCACTGGGCAACGAGCACCAACAGCATCAATAATATCCATCAAACAACAACAACAACAACAGGAATGGCCGGTTCCCCGGCTCCCCCGGATCCCGAAAGCCACCCCCAAACCCCAACCGAATCGCTACTCCTGCCCCAGCTAATGCAAATGGGCTTTCAGAGGCAAGAAATCCTGGACGGGATACGACACCAGACGTCGTCGGCGACCGGCTCGAACGGTGGGCCCGTTACCGTCGACAGTGTCATGGTCCACCTCGTGACCCAGCGCGAGGGAATGGAGGAGGCCCGCATGCTGGACGAGGCGCGGCTGGTCAGCGAGGACCAGAAGCAAGAAGACCGCGCGAGGCGGGAAGCGAGCCGGGAAACCGCCCTCGCGGAGGCCACCACCGGGGAGCAGCTGCTGAAAATCTTTCCCGACTCGTGGGTCCTGGGATTGCTGGTGGGGGAGGAGGTCTGCTCGTTCCTCCTGGGGGGCCAAGAGACCAGGAAGGAGCTGATCGAAATCCTCGAGCTCGAGGGAAAGTCGAGAAAGTGGTACGGGTGGAAACTACCGGCCGGGTATTTCCAGAAGATGGGATCTGTTCTGCTCAACAGCGAGCTCCCGTCTGCCAGAAGCGGACACCACAACAATGCGTTGTCGAAGGCGCGGGACACGGCAGAGACAAAGGGCAACTCTTGTGCCGCGGCAGAGGAATCGTCCGTGATCACCACCTATTTGCGCAAGGAAACGCGCAAGCTCCGGTCCGGTCTCTACGAGCTGGAAGAACAGTGCAACGGGCAGCCAAAGATCTTTCTCGACGAGCGACCGAAAGAAGATTTGGGTGGGGGTGAGGTTGTGGTCATCGACGACGACGACGACGACGACGATTGATTTATGAATTGGTTTGAATGGAAATAAATTCCATTGAATAGAAGGAGTTTTGACGGTTTTTGATGAATGGAGTCTTCTTATGGATCGAAGGCATCACCATTGCCGAAAAATCTGGTTATTGTTTCTGTACGTCTTGGGATTGAACCCTGAAGTTAGTGACGCCATTTATCGATGCTCCGAGGAATCGACAACAACGGAAAATCCGTGTGCATCCGCAGTCCTTACTCGACTACGACTTGATGGCTTGGTTGGTGTGAAACCAACCAACCGCATCTATTCTTTTCGTTTATGGAAGGATGCCTAAGTTCCAACTATTTCTTCCAAACAGCTAGGAGATAAATAGAAGCCCAGCAATTTTTGGTTTGCCTAGTTGGCCTTTTGTACTTTCCCGTGTGTCTACACCTATATCGTTCTTGCCATTGAATCATACCCGTAAGATTAAATTTTTAGCTTACAATTCCTCCTTGTGCCCCATTCGGAACCATAATTTCTTGAAAAAAAGGCGTTCCTCCCTCGAGATCTTGTTGTGCTTCCCCTTCCACGTGGTGGATTCGTCTTCCATTTTTTTCAGTCGCCTCAGCTCCAGCTTGACCTCGAGCGGGCACCGCTCGCACCTCTGTATGTGGCGGTAGAGTTGTTTCCGCACCCTCGAGGGCAGCGTCCTCCGGTCCGTGGGAAAGATCCGGCTCCAACGCTTGCGGCTGTGGGATTGCGAGTCGCCGCTGCAACCCTTACAGCAATGGGCACAGGCAAACCCCGGGAGACCGATCGGGAGGTGGGTCCGCTCCTGGTCCTCTTCCCGTATGCGGACCAGTTTTGCCTGGGACATGAGGCAGTACAGAAAGGGAGAAATGGTGGCCTCGTCCTCGGGCAAGACCAGCGGGACGCTGGCGTCGTGCGCCACGGGCCTGCTGGTGGTGCCCTCGCCGGAAGAATGGTGGTCCACGAGGACCACGGACGATCCACCGAGCTGGACGCGGAGTGTGTCCCTGCGGCGCGGGGCAGCCGGAGAAGTGCTCGTCGCAATGTACGCCCGAACTGGTGCCCCGGGCTCTGGTGGATCTAGGGTTCTGGATTCCTGGTCGCTGGCGGCCGGGATCGCTACCAGCGGGGTTGTCCCGCGTCGGTTGCGGTGGTGACCGTTGGAGGCCGGGAGGCCGTGTCGTTCCCGGGTTCCGAGGCACACGCACGCTACGCCCGAGGCAGCAATCGCTGCTGCCGCGGCTGCGCGTTTCGCCCACACGGAATCGACACCTCGGAGGTGCTGGTGCTGGTGCTGGATACCGCTGCCACCCACCCGGAACCAGCGGCGGCTCCGGCTGGTAGTACAGGTCGGTGTTGTCGTCGACGATTGTTGAGTCCACGCCCGTCTCGGCGAGGGGTTCGAGAGAATCGCGACCGCGCGGTCGATGGTTTTGCAAAACGGAGCTCGGGACGCAGCAGCGGATGCTAGCGCATCGGCGGTTCCCGTTCGAATCCCCGCGGCCGATCGGAAGGTCCGAAACGCGACGGCGTTTCCGCCGATCCGCATCGTTCAATCTTATTCTTTAGACAGCAAGGGGGGAAAGCAACCGCTGCTTCCCGAGAATAATCCGAGTGCGGCAATCGGTATCGTGTCGTAACGGAGTTTGTGTGTACCGTAGGTGAAGAAATACCGACAAGAATGACAACGAAGTTCTGATGATACAAGTACCAGCACTTCGTATTGCTGTAACGAGAATCTTTGACATCGATTCACGGTATGATACCAACACGAGTGAGGCGTCGTATTTCGTACTCGTACTCGTACCGGTGCCGGTACCATAGAACAGAAGAATCATCTTCCATAATTTCTCTCAATCGTTCGGTACCGTGTAAGGTACGTACCGAACGTACGTTTGAGTACATGATGTACAGTAATGTTTTCTCGTACCGTAGATCGAGTACCATAGTCTTCGGATTCAGGAACAGTTGCCGTTTTCTTCGTGCTTCTGGATCTTCCGATCTTCACTATTACCGATGTTAATAGCTGGATGTATGCTAATATATATGGAACGTATGTTGGTGAGTCCAAGTAGTAATCATGTACAGAACAGTTTTACAGTACATATGCTGCTAGGATTCCGCTCGCACGTACCGGTGATACCTCGTACAGTACCAAGTACTACGTTCTGTTCTCGATTCAATCCATGCCCAAAAAAGCAAAGCAAAAGATCCGCTTCTCCCTTCGTTTCATTTTTGTCTCCTTTGTGCTTTGTTTCTTCTCTGGGCATCAGAAACCAGGACGTCGACACAAAAAACACGAATCGTCTACAAGTACCGTGTCGTATTGTACACCGAACTTCGATTAGTACATCTGTCAACAAACCCATTGCCATCAACGGGATAGGCACAGTCCGCAGGGTGATACATCCACCAAAGACGACGTGCCTTCTCTCGACTATCCCACCACTCTATTCATTGTATTTGATTCGATTCGATTCGATTCGATTCAGATGGACCAAGATGCGATCGGTAGAGGCGGAGAATGTAGACCCGATCGTGACAACGACTACGAGTCGTCATCGTCGTCTATGTTTTATGGAGCCGACGAGGCTCCTATCTTTGGGTCAGATTTGTGCGGAATGTTCGAGGATCCCAGGGCGTCCCAAACCGATGCCTGCGCTTTCTTTTGTTGCGGGGTCTTTTTGTGGCAGCGCAACAAGGATATGCTAGTTCTAGAAGAGGAAGAGCAGCAACGAGAACTCGAGCAGGACGAAAACACCAGCGCCAAGGCCAATGCCGAAGAATCGCGGTTGTCACTGTGGCGGTTCTTCGAAACGGCGTGCCTCGTCTTGTTGGTTGTGGCAATCGCGGCATGGTCCCTCGAGGATTCTGCCGATGGCCACTTGTTTTCGGACGTAACCCTGATCTCGTCCGGAATGTTGGTGTTGGGTACCGTTGGCATGATCATCTGGTTCCAGCGCTCCCGCCGCAGCTTTCGGAAGCGGCTGGCCATTGTGGAATACTACCGCCGGCACGGCCGGTCGGCGATTCACAAAAGGGGGGACGAGAACGACCACGATCCGGAACTCGCGGCCTTTTTGCAAGCACACCACCGAGAAATTTACGGGGACGGGGCGCATGCCTTTTGTGGCTGCGCGGGAAGCGACAATGGGTGCTTTGGGACACGCCTCCGCCGGCAACCAACAGGAATTGCCGCCAATCGATCGGGAGGGACAGACGATGATGACGACGACGACGACACAACATACGAGCGGGGCGGTTTTTGTTTCACGGCCTGGCGGTTCCTGGCCAACGCTTGCTGCGGTGTCCTCTGCGGGTACCACCTGCAGCTTTGCGGAACCTGCGCCACGGCGCAGGAATCACGGCATCTGAGGGACGTCCTCCCGTTTGGGATGCGACCGGGCCTGTGGCAGAGAGACTACCTCACGATGCAGCCCTGGAACGAGTACTACCCATCGATTCTGCGGCTTAGGTTTCCCGATCCACCGAGGGGAGAACAACAGCAGCCGCATCAACCCCAAACCCACTGTTTGGCCCATTTTGGAGCGCTGTCGACGCTCTCTCGCCGGATCCTGCTGTCGGTGGTGGCCTTTCTGCTCTTTGTTACCGGCATGTTTTTGCTACCCGTTCGGTTTCCGAAGTGGGAGGTTCTCATTGTGAGTTTATTTGGGGCATGTATAGTATTTCGAAGACGAGAATGCATTAAGTGGTGCTCCGTCCCTTCTCGTCTCTAACTCATTTTTCTCTCCCTTTCCCTTTGCTATATACTTGCTGTGTCCGAGTAGCTATATGCTACATTGCTGCAGCCCGTTGTCTTTTTGATTTTTGTTCATTGGTTGTGGAATCGCACCGATTTGTCCCTTGATGCTGTTGTCAAGTACTTTGCATCCGGTTTCTTTATTTGCACCGGCTGTGCTCTTGTATACGAATGGTTTGTGTCCCAGGTGGGACAGAAAGTTTTGCTCCTGCTGGCTCTCGTCTTTTCCGAAGGATTCGAGCTCTTTGGGCATATCCCGGCGAACGGAACGCCCTCTGCTCATAGTAGTTATTTCGATCGTCCCCTGTGGTATCAAGTGGCCATGGCATCTCTCACCGCACTCATAAACTCGCTATTTGTGGCCGCAATGACGGAAGAAATCTGCAAGTATCTGTGTTATTGGATGGTCGAGCACCCGGATCTGGAACTCCGAAACAAGGTGATACTGTCACCGACCCTCGTTCTTTCAGCAGAAAAAGAATCGGCTTCCGAAACGGATGGCGACGTGGATATCGATACAGAGACTACCGGACTCTTGTCGCAGTATCGTGTGGAGTCATCTGATCCAGAAGAGCAGTTTGCATTTGCGCCGAGAGCCTCACTCGCATCGATAGGAGAAGCCATAACAGTCGCCATGATCACCGTGGCACTGGGATTCGCTTGCGCAGAAAATCTTTTGTACGTTTTTGTCTACACACCGATGGGGTTCGGTGCACAGATTTCTACGTTCTACGTCCGGTGCCTCTTTCCAATTCATCCGATGGCTGCAGCTCTCCAATCCATCGGGGTCTGTCGCCGTGATCTGGAGAAAGATGCATCCTATGGGATTGGGTGGATTGTTTTCCCGGCCTGGCTCTTGCACGGATCCTTTGACGCCTCCCTAATGACATATTCCGCTATCAAAAAGATCCTAGACAGGCACAACCTAGTAGTACAAGACCACGGATTTCCTACCGCTCCCCCCGGAATCGAACCCGGGGGAGGGGAGACACTCGATGCGGACGAGGGGGTGCCGTTTCTCATGTACGTCATGGCCATTCCCTTTGTTGCCATGGTGTACTTTTTGAATGAATCGTTCTACCAGAGAGAGCGACTGGAACAAATGGACCACGAGAATCGAAGACGGGTAGCAACATAAAGACAAAATTGAAACAGCTTTACTCTGAACTTCTTTCCCGGTGAGAACGAAAAAATTCTAATGATTCAAAAGGCATGGCTACAACGGATTTTGTTAAATGTCATCTATAATATTTCAATCTATTACATCTGGCCATCTGCCACGGCCTTAATAGACCTGGCCAATTCCTCGGCTTGAGCAAGGGTGAGCTGCCGGGGGGCAAAGACCTCCTTGCTAGGTTCCACAATCGTAGGATCGCTAATCTTGGTGACCCTCGCGTGGTGGGGCACCTCGTGCAGCATCTGCGCAACCTGGCGTTCCTCGGGGACAGTTCCCCGCTCGTACATGCTCATGAGCAGCAGGTCTCCCTCCGTGTGTATGGCCGCGCAGTGGGCCTTCCCGAGGGTAACACAGCACAGCGCCGCAAGATTGGCGGCCGACTTTTCGTTCGCAGTAATCTCGGGAAAGGCCCAATCGGTTTTCTTGTCCGCGGCCTCAAGCTTTTCTAGATAACGTGAAATGGTCCAGATGATGTAATCCAGTATCCCCTCGTCGAGAAATATTTTTGCCCTGCGCTTGTCCTTTGCCAGAAGAAGTATTTCTTCCATGGCTTCGTTTTTTTGATCGTTACTGGTGTTGGCACTTGCGACAACGTCTAGCCACGCCCGGGGCTGGGAAGTCGGATCAAGCCCGTGGATCTGGGCGATGGGGAGAATGCGGACATTTCTAAGGCACGCAACCTTTTTGTTTCTCATTCGCTCGTTGTGAGACATAGGAGCGGCCTTGGGCTGTTCCATCATGGGGCCCGCGGGGCTAGCAGACGGGTGCTCTTGGTGGTTGGTACCAGCGGAATGGGGCCCAGTCATCTGGGAACCAGCAGGCGCCGTTGCCCCCGCCGGATTGAAAAGGTTTTCAGACTTGGCCGTTTGTCCCGTGGGGCAATTGGGCACCAATTGATCTGCGATGTTCGACGATAGGCAGTGCGGCACGTGTTCCGCGACGCCAGAGTCTTCGTACGTGCTGAGACAGGAGGAAGTCACGGCCTCGCTCGCATCGCAGGCTTTCTCCTGTAGAGTATTCATAGCCTTTTCGGCCCGGTCCTGGATTTTGATGCGTTCATCTTCAGGAATCTGCATAAAGCCGAAGCCCAGGCCGCCTGCGGCCACCCCAATCAACAACCCGGCAGGCCCGGCAACGGCGAGGCCCACCGTTGCCACCGCAGCAACCCCAGCACTCAATCGCAGCGCGGGATTGTCCTTCGCAGTAAAATGTTCCATTTCCTCCTTGCTCAGGAGCTTTGGCTCTCCGTTGTTCCCAATAATGCTCCCACCTCCCTGGTGGATGCTCTGCCCTAATTGGTTATTGTGTACTATGCTGCCGTTGTTGTTGCTGTTAAGGTCGTTCTGAGCCGCCAGTCTGGCTCTCCGTTGGTCTGCTTCCCGTCTCCGCCTCGCAAAAGACGTGCCTCCGTTGCTATCGTCATCTCGATCTCCATAGTCAAATGTCCGGTCATCGTCGTCGATTCGTTTGGTGCCCATCGTTGCTGCGCTGTTATTGTTGTTGTTGAGACCGCTGTTGATCGCGTTACTGTTGTTGTACCTGGAACTGATTAAAAAGTCGTTCGCATCGGTAGCCTGTGACGTGGATGGCCCATCGACAGAATGGACCGAGTGACGACTGCGATCCGCCTTGCTGATATCGTCCATGTCATAATCGCTAGAATATTCCGTTCGTAAAACGCGTCCCCCCAGTCCATATCCTATCTTGTCAGATTTTTCGTCTTCTTTCCAAATGGTATTTCGGTTGCTGTTGCTGTGAACCCCGCGATTGGGTTTCCATGAGGGACCCACACTGCCGCTGTCTCTCCCGGATGTAGAAGGATTGTGGTTGGACTGTAATGGTTCGTAGGTGTAGTTGACGCTGTTTTGGTGCGAATTTGGATGATGGTTATTGCTATTGTCGATAGTTGTCCTGTGATGGTTGCTATTGTTACTCCCTTCCATGATGCGGTGCACGCTAGTGAGAGTGGCATCGTCATCGGTAGGGGCCTCCAGAGAAGCGTTGATCTGTTGCGGACTGGCAGCTCCACCAATATCCGAAGAATCATCTCGATGCGATCTTGGAGATCGCAGATTAGTACCATTGTTGTCGTTGTTGTCATCGCTTTCCTTTCGGTTGCGATTACTGTGCCTTGAGGTAGATATCGATGGCGACGAGACTTCCTCGTTCTGTCTCCGAGTCTTGGTCGAAAGCCCAGCAGTGGCGGACATTAGCTTGGAAATGGTCATTGATTTCGTGTTTGGAGATGCTGCACTGACGTTCTCCAGTTTGACGGGACTAAGGTGCTTGGATGTTGCATTGTCACTTGTGGTGTTCCGCACCACTGAGGTGACCGCAGAATATCCCGAGTTCCTCGTCGTATTTGTAGCAATCGATGATTGCCGCTCGTTTATGCCGTTTGGTCTCCTTTGCAACCTCGATAATTTGGACCACCGGCTACCACCCGGGCTGCTGCTTGCAATGTTGAGGCTCGAGGATGCCGTGGATGTTCTGCCGGGGGAATCCGGAACTGTGGATGCCAGGTTTTCCCTGCCGAACATGGTGGTAGATGCCTCGCTCTGGTCGATGTCCTGGCTCTTTGCAGCTGCGGTGCTACTGTCGTTGCTTGGTGCTTGGTACGTCCGCCGCTGATTTTGCAGCATCCGCCGTTGCCGTCTCAAATCCGTGAAATTTGTCGTCGTAGCGGAAATACTGTTTTCTCGTATTTGTTGTTGGGATTGTCGAATCCTGCTTCTTCGATTCTCAGATGCCGTTGCAGTTGTCGAAGATGTCTCTTCAAACGGCTGATTACCTTCATTGTGGCTCATCCTGTTCCCGCGTTCTCTGTTGGAAGCAGAGGTTGGATTATTTTTGTTGTTATTGCCACTGCTGTTTGTGTTTACGTCACTCAAAGCAGTCTCGGCATTGTTGTTCGCATTTTTCATGTCGCGGTAAAACTTGGATCTAGACTGGGTTTCTCTGTTTCTGTTGCGAAATCTATGTGGCTTCGGCTGCTTTGTTGCTGACTGGGGTTTGTTCTCTTCTTTTTCGTTTTGCTGGTGCCGGTGCTCTCCTTCGTAGTGCGGTAGTTTGAATGCATCTCGTTTCGTTCCAAGAGCCCCACCTCTTGGCGAGATGCTCGCTATTGGTCTACTGGGCGAAGGAACCCCTCCCTGCAAAGAGGACGCAGCTTCGAATGAGTTTATCCTATCCCTAATCGTAGATGGCATGCTTGTAGCTCTGGTTCTGTTATCTGCGTGCAATTCAAAATGAAGGGATCAACAAGCGAGGAGTGGCAAAACCAAATCAATCAACCAGCCAGTTCCGATTTCTTGCAAGTCCTTTTTTTAATGCTTCGATTCTTTTCGAGGCAATATACAATCGTTAGACGTTGTCAACACTTTCGTAACACACAGTGGGCCATCAAAAAGTCATGTGAGTTTTAAACGGTAGGTATGGTATTTACATGTAGCATCAATAGACCATACTCGTACTACTCGTACTCGTACTGGTTCGAACGGCATTGCGAAAGAACGAATAGTTGTAACGTGCACCGTAGCGTTCTGTATTAGCACTACCGAACAGCAGCTTTCACAACTTGCTAAAACGAACCCTTAATCGTACGAACACGAGTGCGATAGCCGTGTCGTGTTTGTGAAGTTACGGTCGGCATGCGACAAACGCCTGTGAGAGCCGTTGGCGAGGTAGCCAGTTGAAAGAGCCAATCGAAAGAGCCAATGGTGTTGGAAGGAGTGCGAATTCAAATTTTAAAAAAGAAGCTATGTAAGTCCTGTATCGACTCGCTTCGTCATTCACTGAAGAAATCAAAAAGAAAGTCAACCCAGATTTTCGTGGAACTGATCTCAACATGGATCCGTGTACTCGTATTGAACGGCGGTGTTCAGTGTTCTTGCACCTCGTCCCAAGATCCCCAATCAAACCTTGTACTCGTGCTAACACTTCCTGAAAGTTTTTCCTGAAAGGACACGCAACGAAAAGTAGCAGCAAAAGCTCGGTTGATAGGTAGCTGAGCCAAACGAAAGAAAACCCAATCATGGCTTTCATGAAAATGAATTATCGAAAGCAATTCCTTATCACAGCTACGAGTTCTAGAGGGACAACGCGTTTTCCATTTGGAGTGTCAAGGAATGATATAGATAGAGCAATAGAAATATGCAACAGCAGCCGTCCTGAGCGAGTGTGCTTTGATGACTGGATGGTGCTTATTTTCATCCTATCGAAAGTAGGGATCGTGGATCTACAAAACAGGGAGGATGACTGCCGCAACTTGGTGCATCGCGATCGCTGGTACTATCGGACCGATCACGAAGGACGTATTAACTACCTGAGCCTATTTGGCAAGGTGGGTTGTCCCTTTGACCTTCCACCAGAGATTGGTTATCTCGAATGCCTAGAATATCTCCGCCTGAAACGCTGTCGATCCATTCCCGGCAGGGAACTTTCGAGTCTGCCGCATTTGGAGGTTCTTTCGTTCGACAAATGCAACTTTCAGTTTTTGCTCCACCAAGACGATGTCGAACACAACACCAAAAACAGTTTTCTCTCTAGGATAAAACTGATAAATTTGAAGACTCTTCGCATCGAACGAAGCAAGATTCCCGCGTCTTCGTCCATTGTATCTTTGCTAGCGGGGGAGCTTCCCGAGCTCCAAAAACTCTATCTGTGTGACATAGACTGTCACTCAATGAAAAACGTTCTGGAAGCTCTTACCAATCTCGATGTGAGCTTTCAAGATAGTCTTTCTCATTTCGCATTGATAGATTGCTGCCTCGAGCACCATAATTTGGAAACGATTTTCATGGACATACTAGGCAAGTTTTTGAAAATTGTTCACCTCGACATATGCAACAGCGAAGTTCAAAGCATTCACTCCCTTGTGGAGGGACTAAAGCGTGAACGAAGAAATGGTGCTAGCAATCCTGAACAATCGACCCTCCGCCACCTGGGTCTAACATACACCTCCGCCAAGAATGAAATATTTGTGAACGACGGGAGGGAAAAGGATGCCATTGTATATCTTCTACGGACATTCAAAACGATTTCTGATGTCGCGCTGGGCGCTATTCAATTCGATCAGGACATAGAATACGAGATATTAGCAAACAAAGCAGGACGGAGCCTTGTAGAATGTGGAAACAATCGGCCGTTGCTGCTGTCGGGGTGGCCCGCAGTTTTGGAACGGGTAACTCGAAACCGAAAAATCAATTATAATTCCATTGAGAAGCCTGTACGCCCTGTCACTGGACTCTATTATCTCCTTCGCTTTGGACCAGTTCTAATGAGCGCCGCGAACTGGTGATACTTCCAAGGAACGAGCACATCCTGAAGGCAATAGAAGACCAATATATACCAAGTGGATGGCGCCACCGAGTTGAATGAAATGAAGAGGCGAATAAAACCAAACTACGAAAGGGAAAATATACGAGAAGCAAAGAAGCATCATGGAATGCCTCGTTTCTGCTCTAGTCCTTTTTTATTATAACTTCTGTAACTATTTTCTTTTATTATTTTCAATCGATATTGCTTGTTTCAAATCAGGACCTTGAACACTGATTCCGTTTCAAATCTGCTGTAGACTTCGTTTATTTTCCGTTGTTGTATCTTAGCAACAATTTGTACCCATATAATTTTGGGACATAGCCATGAAGCTTGATGATACTCAGGAGCAGGTACAATAGTGCCAAATTCTGCACGCACTCAACGCAGGAGGGGGTGGGTTTCTGCCTGAGCTCTGTACGACGAACTCAATCCGGCATTGTAGACGGGCTGCCCACGCATCGATCCGGTCATGGTCGGATCCAAGAATCCCGCGACTTGTACCCGCAAGTCCACCACGTCCATACAACCCGGCCAGACCTCTCGCCAAGCGGTTCTCATCTCTTCGCTCAACTCGGGGTGGTTTTGTTCAAAGTCGACGGGACTGGTTGCGAACAAAACGATCACCGCGTTCACAGAACTAGATATGATCCCAAAGAGCACGCTAGAAACCACAAGGCCAACAAGTGCTCCGACGCTGCCGATTTCAAAAACACGGAGTCAGTTGATCATCGCAGAAACGAACAGGACGAGAGTTTCGACAAACAAACATACGTCTCCCATGCAAAAGCATTATTCAAATCAAACTTACACGAAAGGCGTGACAAGCGGCTCTTGGCTTGCTGTCAGTGCAAGGCTCTCGAATCTTTGTAATAAATGTGCGAACACGCCTGTGAGACCAGTGATCGTAAACGTCATCAAAAGGAGAACGTTTGGAACAAGATCATCCGAAACAATCGTTGTCCATCCCCTCTTGTCAAAGAGCTCTGCAGAATGCAACCCGGCGTCAATCAGGCCATAGCCATAGAGTCCAACATATGTAAAAGACCAAGGGCTGAATCGTCTGGCCAGTGATTCGACACAATTTGTCAAGCACGATTGTATGCAGTGCATGCATTCGTGAAGAGTCATTAGCGAATGAACCTCTTCGGGCGGCCGAAAAAACACCGAAAATTGCCTCAATATGCGGACGGGACCAACAAACAAGCTTCCAAAGCAGATCGAACCAACCGAATAGAAAACTGATCGAAAGAAAGCATGATTCAAGTCTGCACCGCGGGAAGAGGTGTCGCCATCGGGCGTGTACCACCATTTTCCGATGACATCCGCCACCGTCACTTGAACAATGTTCTGGAACGGGGAAGTACAAAACGAAAAGATATTTTGTGAGTCCATTGTTCACAAGGTTTCATAAATATCACAGGATTAATTTTTCAACCAAAACAATGAAACTCACCAAGAAGACGTTCAAGGTCCAATAGTATGATATTCCGAGGAGGCAGAAGTAAACATATCCAGCGCCTTCAAATGATTCGTCGATTTCTCCCTCTTGGATGGCATCGTAGACTCCAAAACCTACAAAGATGTAGTACACCGACCATCCCAGCGACAAAATTTGAAAGATAAAGGACACAAAGATTGCACCAGGATTGGCCAAAATACCTGATAGCCCAGCGTTCAGGTTGGCTGCTGCGAATGGAATTCGATCCCAAACAATAAATGCGTATGCTACACTCAGCCCTAGAGCAATAATCCCAGTAATTGGAACAATCTTTTTCGGGGTGAGACCTACGCCCATCGTACCCCAAAGAAAACTGAAGGTAATCGATAGGATAATTGCAATTTGTACAATCTTATTTGCAATGGTTGCCATCAACAAAAGTGTCAATCCTGAGACGACCATCGCAAACACTCCACTCAAGCCGGCAAGATAAATCATATTCATCAAAATGATTGTCACGGAGGACTCACTTTCCTCTAGAGACTCATCGTGAATAAGAAGCGCTTCGTTCCCGTACGTTCTTCCAAGATAAACGATGCCCAACAGATGAAAGACAAAAAGTAGCAAAAAAATAATGTCACGGCAAGAAGGTAACTGTTCGGTACCCTTAACTTCTTCCATGAAAAGCTGGGCAGAATGTTGCCGCATGTGTCTTCTCTTCGTACGTGATCCTCCCCGACGCGAGGCCTTGCGGCTGCTATTTTTGTTCAACAAAAATACTGCTTCGCCTCCGCCTTCACTGCCATCGTCACCAATCGTTTCTTTCGAATTTCGGATGCTGCGAACCGATCCCGAAATACTATCATCACCACTGTCTCCCATGTAGACACCTCGATTATAGATCATAGGCTGCGGCTGCTGGTTTTGGTAGGAATAATTCCGCTGCGAGTGTTGTTCCAGCGGACTGCTGCTTCCGCCAGTGAATGACGTTGGAAACATCGGGCCCGGATACGACATATGCATTTGCCAATCTTCACTCTTCGCACGATTGTGACGACTGGATCCGCTCCCCCGATGACCCGGGGAAACCGGTGGACGAACGCCAGCACCGGTCCCGGTCAATTTGCGAACCTCCGCAACCGGAGAAAAATCCTCGCTGTTTGCGCGTTGTCGACCTCCGGTGGAGGCGCCCGCCTTTGAGCCGGATCGTCTCGGCAGCGGTGGAGCACCGCTTCCCTGAGGCGAAAAAAACGAAGAACTGCCTTGTGGCCCGTTGTATGAGTTTGACCGACGGTGGGTACTCCTACCCAAGTTGCCGTTTGGGTTGCGAGATCCATTACCGCTGCTATTCAAATCTTGCCTCTGCTGGTACGGTAGTGTCGGAGGAGTGGGGGGAAGCCCTCCCTGGTGTGGATTCATCATATGCGGTGGATAATTTCCACCACTGGGTGAAAACGATATCCCGCTAGGTGCCTGGGTGGTTATGACAATCGGAGACGACGACAATTGATAGGCATGCATAGGATGGGGAGGGTACCCCGCCGCCGTCCCATCATTCAATTGATAAGATCCAGGTGAACCCGGTGGTGGCTGCATTCTGATGCGATGACCATGCCCGTTCGGCACCGGATTAGAATTGTAGACGATTTGGGAGGGGTATCCGTTCCTGTCGCTTCCGCTGCTATTTGCGCTTCCCGTCGATTTCTTACTCGCCTTAGTAGAATTCGTGTGAGAATTATCCGATCGGAGCACCGGAGGTGTTGAATCCTTCGGAGCCGCTGTGTCTTCTTCTACGGACGGCGGCGTAGCTATGCCATCGTCTACACTACCAGTCGTAATGTCAACCATGGTTTCGATTGTTTTCGACGAGGAGTATGTTCTTCCTCGATGTGGTTTGCTAACAATGCTAGGTTCCTGCAACAAAGCAAAACAGAATACCCTTCTTTCCTAACGCGGAATGCAATGCTTGTACTAGAGAAAACGACCGTCAACGTATGTGGGATGGATTTCGGCTGATGACCTTTCTATTCTGTTAGTAATTTTGCAGCTTTTGTACCCTCGAGGTGCACACGCATGTCCAAGATATGGACAGTTGTTTTCTAAAATATTTTTAGATGAGACACTTCTTCTGTTTCTCAACGGATGGATCGGTGACACATTTCGATAAAAATAGTCGAAGTTAACTGAATAAGGAACGTTACTTTTCGAATCGCGTTTCGTATTGCGATACGTGCGGCAGAGCTCATCATCACTACCTTTTAGTACCCCGAAGACTAGCGGCACTTCATCCTCGTCATGCGAGGGTACGTACGTACTTCTTGCTACTTTATCGTACATAGGTACGAAGTACAGTAGAAGTATTACTTTACTCGTATTTGTATCAACCACAGTGCTATTGTACCGTACTTTACCTGGTGCAAGTACGTACCACTTCTTTAAATTGTGACAGGCGGCCCAGCAGTCCCGTAATTGTTACGGTATGAAACTACAGTACCGTACAGTAAAGTACAGTACGAGTAGTGCAGAATGATGGAACGTAATTTCTAATTCTGGTGGGTCCTCGCGATGCTTGACAAAAATGTTTTCTTCTCGGATAGGCACAGTAGATATTTGAATTCTACCGGTACTAAGTCGCTGAAATGTCTATTTTCTATTTTTTAAGAAATCAAGGACGACAAAAGTCCTGTCCATCAATCAGAAGTTGATGCCTTTAGTAAACGAAGTACGAAGTTCTGTACTGTACTTCCTCCGTCCAACAATGACCATCCCACCATGACTCCTTTTCTGCTGTCCAGGTATGATACTAGTCCCCTAACTGAGAACCCAGTAGGATGCTGTACTACAGTCAGTACCAGAACCATCATGTTTTAACTAATTAACTTGTTGTAACTACATTATATTACTACTACTGAGGAACTACTCTTCTTCTGTTTCAGCTCGTGCAAGTAACTCAAGCCCTGAATTGGTGAAACAAGAATCCTGATTGCAAATGATCGAATTTGGAAGGTTCTTAGTACCTTCTTCTCTCATGAGTCGGGCTTAGGCCATATGTGGAAGCTTGTAGTTGTTGTCTCCATCCACACCAAGAGACACTTGCATACAGGCCTGAAGTGACAAAAACACATTATTCAACGTCTCACACTTACACTCATTAACTGCTTCCTCCACATTGACGACCAAATGATCAATAGTACCCTTTGATCGCTTCTTATAGTACTGTAAGCTTTGAATTGAATTGGTGAAGAATCCAAGGTCAAGTTCATTCAAATCCTGACTGTTTGGTGATTGAGTCTTCACAGAAATGTTCCAGCCTTTGCTAGCTGCAGCTGCTTTCATGTCATCCCTGATTGAAGACTTATGAGGGGCTTTGTCACATTATCCTCCTGAATGAAAATCTGCAGAGGATTACGACTGGATCCCCTTGGCCACTTCTTGTAGATTGTAGGCAGTACCTTGTCCATCCCATATTATGCATGGTAGGTACCATACAGTGGTACAAAGTACAGTACTTGAAATGATTAGAAGTAGTAGTGGTACTAGTAGTAGTCCCACTAGTGCCACAACAATGAAGTATCATATAGGCTTGGCTACTCGTTTCCAGCTGAAAAATGTGTACATTTTTAATCCTATATTCATACAAGGATATCAATATCTTCCACTACTAGGACCCCATGACTCCCACATGCATTTTGAAAGAAGCTAATCTTGAAAATGGCTTTCGATTCATCATGTGCTGGTGCCTTACCATACTTAAGCATCCATTGGGGACAAAGATATGGCTGTTTCAGTGAGTTGAACCTCTCTTGTTGATTTTGGGCCATCTTATTACTGTGTAATGACTTGTGGGATTAAAAATTGACTTGTACTAGTAGGGTCGCAGCAGTGTACATGTGCAAGCGAAACTATTTTTGCTGTATGACTGGTGGTGGGATTCAAAAATTCAGCATGTGCCCTGCTGTACCGGTAGTATGATTCAGTTTTTAGTCAAAGTAGTTATTACACGCAAAAATAAGGGCCCAAAACTTACAACTGGTGCGTACATTTTGTGCCCAACTCTATATGATACTGGTTCACCATTAGTACAAGTACCAGCCCACTCAAATTGTCCAATTTCAGCAAATCTTTCAATATTCAAGCAGAATAATACTTTAAGACCACTAATTGTAGTAGTAGTGACATGACTAGTAGTACTACTAGTAGTACAAGTAGTAGTAGTACTGCTACTAGTAGTAGTACTACTGTCATCCAGAGGGTCATACTAATACTAACAGCAGCAGGACCCCCCTTCTTTCACAGCACCAGCACTGATATTTCAAAACACCACCACCACCACCAGCACAAGAAGATCAAAAACAAAAGAGGGAAGAATGATGCTGCTGGTGATCCTCCTCCTCTAACAGCTACTACTATCCCCAGTAGTAAGTCCATGAATGATTCCAAGGCAGCTTTGATTCCACTGTGTAGTAGTAATAGCTAGTAGTAGCCTAGTTGTTTGTGTGTTTTTGTTCTTCAAAGGTGGGCTTTCATCTGCACTGTTCCCCATCAGCAGCAGGGTGGAAAGCAATATGTGATTGTTGTCCAGATATGCGGACTGGCTGCTTCTTATTCTTGTTTCAACATCATTGAAAATACACAGGGCTATGTTCAACAGGCAAAGTTCCAGATGATTTCTGTTTTCATGTGAAACGCCAGTTAGTGTCATGCAGAGAATGCTGCTGGGGATCAAATTTTCATTTGTCCTTGTTCCATTTTGCTGCCTTCCATGATTGCACGAGATTACGTGTACTCTTAGTATGTTAAGTGTGTATGAAAATTGAAATTATAAGATTAGAATTATTCGAAGATTACCAAGCGCGTTCACGAGAATTCCGAAGTTCCGATTGGAACCTCATGCAGACCTGGTAGGGATTCTACATGGAGGTTCTCTGTTC